TTACTTTGCAACCTTCTGTTCAGTTCAGTTGCTCAGTCATGTCCAACTCTTTGAGACTCCATGGACTGCAGAACGCCAGGCCTCCCTGTCCATCACCACTCCCGGAGTTTAATCAAACCCATGTCCATTGAATCAGTGATGCCATCCAACCGTCTCATCCTCTGTCATCCCCTTCTCCTCCTGTCCTCAATCTTTCCCAGCATCAGGGTCTTTTCAAATGAGTCAGCTCTTCACATCAGGTGGCCAAAGTACTGCAGTTTCAGCTTCAACATCGTCCTTCCAATGAACACCCAGGACTGATCTCCTTCAGGATGGACTGGCTGGATCTCCTTGCAGTCCAAGGGACTCTCAAGAGTCTTCTCCAACACCACAGTTCAAAAGCATCAATTCCTCAGTGCTCAGCTTTCATTATAGTCCAAGTCTCATATCCATACATGACCACTGAAAAAACCATAGCCTTGTAACCTTCTGAAGTATATTTAAAAATTGATTCCTTGGAAAAGATGCTGCAACAGGAAGCATCCTAACCATCTGATGGAGAAGCGGCTGTGAGAACAGCTGTCATATCGCTGATAATAAATGCGAGGGACACGCGTCTGAGAGCAGGTCTGGGGGCACAAAAACCACCAAAGTCGAAAGCCCTCACAGGAACGCCTGCTCTCAGGAAGAAAACCTCCAGTTCTGAAGCAACCCTCAGGCCACTATGAGTCTGGGAAAATGTCCCACAGTAAGATGCTCTTCGCGATACAGAAAAGAACTAGGGTTCAGGAGAGACCACGTGAAGGGAGTGCATGCAGAGGAACTCCTGTCCAGACCTTAAAGCTTTAATGTGCATCAGACCTAATATCAAAAGGAGCCTCCATGACTGCAAACATGTGAGAACTGTCTCTGCAGGAGGTGCAAAGCCGAGCGTTAGAGAACTTGGGGAGGGGGGCGGCTTCCCTGGTGGCTCAAATGGTAAAGAATCTTCCTGCAATGCCGGAGACCTGGGTTCGATCCCTGGGTGGGGAAGATCTCCTGGAGGAGGGCAGGGCAACCCACTCCAGTATCCTTGCCTGGAGAATCCCCATGGGCAGAGGAGCCTGGCAGGCCACAGTCCATGGGGTCGCAAAGAGTCAGACAGGACCAAATAACCAAGCACAGAGAACTTGGGAAGGAAAGAAAACGACCATGAAATTTACAAAGTCTCCCGCCACACGTCAATGCTCTCTCAAACATCAGAAAAGGAGAATTACAGGGAGGAGACCACTAACGGCATACCTGGGAGGTCCTCCTGCCACAGGCCGATCCTCACACCGTGTCGGAGCACTCACACTCAGGGCCCCCCGGGTCCAGGGGCTGAGAGTCCATGGTCACAACAGAGGAGGCCAGGGTTCAGTCCCCGATGAGGGAACTAGATCCCATAGGCTGCAACTGAATAGTCCGCACGCCACAGCTAAACACTGAAGACCCTCCCTTGCTGCAGCTAAAACCCAGGGCAACCAGAAAAATACATGTCTTTTAAAAAAAGAGAAACCTTTAGAATGCAGTAAAGGTGGAAAAACCTTCTGCCAGAATTTACACTTCAATGTACAGCAAATCACCATAGAGAAACCATATGAATGTGATACACATGTGTAAGGCATATCTTACTAAATGTGAGATAATACACATGGGGGGAAATCTTAGGATATGGAACGCGGGAGGTCTTGTCAGAGGTCAACCTTTACGTCAGAGAGCTCGCCACACCTGTAAACAACACGGGCCACCTTTCTTCCAGAATAATACCTGTTTGTACATCAGGTGACTGGTTAAGAAAAGAAAACCTCCCTTGTGAAGTCAAATCTCTAATTCAGAATCAAGGAATCAACACGAGGGAGAAAAGCTATGCAAATAATGAATCTGAGCATGCCTTTGGCAAGCTACATGTATTTATGTAGAAACACTACATAAACAAGAGCAGAGGAAGCCCTGCATCCAGAGAGAATCACTACCAACTCCCAGAGGACTCCTAAAGGAGAGAAACCCGAACAATGCAAAAAATGCGAGCAACCCTTCTGCCAGAAGACAGAAGTCTTTCTAGACTAGAAGGTTCAGAAGAAACACAGGAAAAAATACGTAGCGCAGGTCTCACCAAGAACTTACAACCTAAACTGAACAGGAAAGAAACAGTATTTGAGTGTTTTCACAGTGTGAAAAATTCTAAAAAGAAATTTAAAACCTGGGGAAATTTCATCAAGTTAGGGAGTAAAAAAAAACGAAGCAGTGAAGAGTGGGCTATGTCCTCAAAAATATCAATGCTGCAAAAAGGCAAAAAAAAAAAAGGCAAAAACACCTTCTCCTAGAGGCAATACTGTTCACAAAGACGTGTTCAATATGTGATGCCAAAGTGAAAATGGAAGTGCGAGTCGCTCCGTCGTGTCTGACTCTCTGTGACGCCGCGGACTGCAGCCTGCCAGGCTCCTCTGTGCACGGGATTCTCCAGGCAGGAATCCTGCAGTGGGCTGCCATCTCCTCCTCCAGGGCCCTTCCTGACCCAGGGACTAAGCCCAAGCCCCCGCACTCACAGGCAGATGCTGCACTGTCTGAGCCACGACGGAAGCCCATGTGACACCAGACTTGTATCCAAAAACTAATCCACTAAACTCGTCTGTATATCCACAATTTGTAAGTAAAAGACTTCTAAAAAGAAAGAAAAACACAGTCAAAGGGACACAGGAGCCAACTCCAGGAGGCACTTGATGGCCAGTCTCCGCCAAGCTGAGCACTGTAACGATCGAGCATGGTGTGCTCCGTCGCTCCGTCGTGTCCGACTCTCTGCGGCGCCGCGGACTGCAGCCCGCCAGGCTCCTCTGTGCAAGGCATTCTCCGGGCAGGAATCCTGCAGTGGGCTGCCATCTCCTCCTCCAGGGGCCCTTCCTGACCCAGGGGTCAAACCTGCCTCTCTTGCATCCCCTGCCTTGGCAGGCAGATTCTTTACCACTAGCGCCAGCTGGGAAGCCCAATTAAGTATAGGAATGAATTATAAATCATTGAAAACATACAAATTCATGAGTCCATAGTGATAAAAGAGCTAGATTGATCAATCAAGAAGGCAGGAAGTCTCTTGCTTATAGTAAAAATGCCAGGGGCTAACTGAAAGAAGTCCTGAGATTAGAAAATCATTACTTTACAACCATATGGCAAAAACTGGATCAGACAAGAATCATAAATGGATAACAAATCCTGGGGGAGATGTTGATGAGAAGCACAACATTTGCAACATCAAACATGTTTCTCCACTGGCTGTTGATGAGTGGCAAGGGAAGAAAATATAAAGAGAAATAATACAATGGAGAAACCGGACAACACCTTGACCAGTGATGAAATTAACATCAGCTACAAGAGACAGGCAGACAGACATCTGATGTCTCAAGACATGGTGCCCTGAGAAGGACAGGTCACCTGAACAGGATTCTGTCTGAGAACGCAACAGCTCAACCCAATGACAGACGAATGCCAGGCAAACACAAGCGGAGGGCTATTCCTAAAAAACAAAACAAAACAATGAGGAGTGGGCTATTTCCTCAAAAAAACCAATGTTGTAAGAAGGCAAACCAAAAAAGAAAAGTCTACAAAAATGTCCTGGCTTAAAAGAGGCTAACGAGACATGATACCAAGAACTAACTCCTGTCCGAGATGAGGGAAGATGCTCTGAAGAACATAATTAGAGCAAGGGACAGCACGGGAATCTAGCCGGTTGTCGTACAGTCTCCATGTCCCGCCGGACTCTACTACATGAACGCTGAAGACAGGCGTCGGTGTGAACTCCCGATAAGTGTGCTGAGGTGAGGGAAGCTCCACAAGAAGAGGCAGAAAGTGCGGATGAGCGGCGAGATGGGGTAAAGTACGAACGGTAAGGGAATCTGGTAAAGGGTACACAGCTATTCTCTGCACTGATTTTATTGTGCAACTTTTCATAAGCCTTAACTTATTTGCCCCCAAAAGTAACTGTTGAAGAGCCAATTCCGTGTACTGTGGCCCCTGCCTCCTCAAACAGCAGGGTCATCTTTCTCCTCTGCCTTTTCCCTCTTCACTCAGTCACCCGGCTGAGCTGAGAAACAGCTTCATGTTCCAAACAAAGGCAAACGGCGCAAAGCACAGGGCTCTCGATCCACAGCAGCTGGACCTACTGGAAGACTGACCTACTCACACGGTCGCTTTCTCACTCTATTTGTCTTCAAACCCCTGCAGCCTGGCCTCTGTCCCCACCACACGCTGACGCTGCTCTTGCTGAAATCACCAGCGCCCCCGGGCGCCAGCTCCATGGGTCCTCTTCTGTTCTTCTGCTACGTGACCTTTCAACAGCACTGAACAGTGCTGGCCACACCTGCTCCTTGAAATATCCACTTCTGTTGGTTTCGATCAAACACTTGATTTTCCTCTGGGCCCTCTAAGTCTCCTCTGCCACCTCTTCGTCCCCCATCTGACTCAGTGGTCATCATTCCCATGGCTCTCAGTCCACACTCTCCCTCAGGGGTCTCATTCATTCCCGGCTTTAAAACCACCTGCACGCTGATGACTCCCAAACATCTCTGCAGCCTAGAGCTCTGCCCCGAATTCTAAACTCATACAGCCCAACTGCCTAGATGTCCTCGGGCAAAACCTTTCAGACTCAAAACTGAACTCTTGCTGTTTCCAGACCTTCAATCTTCTCCCCTAGTCTTTCCATTTCAGTAAGTACCGCTTCTGTTCACTCAGCTACTCAGAAAACCCAGATCATCCGTGGGATGTTGAAATTAGAAGCAACATTTTGTCTTTAGGCTTTTCAATGGTTGAAAATTCTCCCATAATAAACATACTTACGAATACATTGATTCATCAAAACTAAAAGAACCAAATCTCTTCTTGTTTGGGGGGTAATGGGAAACAAAGCAAAGATCTGCTTTAAGGTAACACTTTAGAGTCTCTATATTTGTTCTTCGTTTTAGTTTCATGAGTGTCTAAATAAGGTAGGTAGTAAAAATTAACTTTCACATTACCAGAAGTGTTTGGATCTACTGACGACATCACAGAATCAGCTTCTATCTAGAAAAGAAAAATAAAATAAAATAATAGAATATACAATTTCATCAAATGTTTTCACAGTATAAGTTCTTAATTCCTGGGATACAGGAAAGGAATGCAGATTATGAGAGACCATCTTTGTTGAATCCAGCAGACAAGTACTATCGCAGGACAGCATCATAGTCATTTCACTGTTCTGTCGGTAAGACACCAGAAGCTAACCTGCTACGGACCCCAATGGCCCCCAGAACTTTAATCCATTGATCAAAACAGTTAAATCATAAAGTCAACTAGGCTGTCGTATACACAGCATACCCTAGAAGGTAACCTTTCTGTCTTACACAAATACAAGCAATCCTTATGATGGGTTCTTTGGCTTCACTTAAAATATTTTCTTCCTGACTGTAATAGTAACAATGTAGAAAACATGAGAAACATTTTTACATTATGAAGAGAAACAATGAAAAAACGGCCAGCCAGTGAAAACCACTGTCAACATTTCTGCCTAGTATACCTTTCTTTTTCCCGTGCGTTTTTTTTTTAAATTGAAGTACAGCTGTTTCCAAATGCTGTGTGAGTTTCTACAGCCCAGGGAACCAGTCACACGTACCCACACGCCCCTTCTTTTTCGGATTTCCCTCCCATTCAGGTCGGCGCAGAGCACCCAGCAGAGTCCCGTGTGCGGCAGTCAGCTCTCATTAGCTATCTACTTTATACTGAAGTGTGTGTGCATCCATCCCAGTCCCTCATCCATCCGACCTCCTCCTTTCCTACCCACGCATTTTTAAACATATTCGCGAACACACTGTGTACTAAGTTTGGGAACCTGCCTTCACTAAGTATTAAGACACCAGAATTTTCCCACATTGCTGCAAGACCTTTACAAACATCTTGGAATTAGGATCTTGGCAACATGTGACATAACTTCTCCACCTTGGATTCCATGCCCTGAACTCTGCTGGTTCTTCCTGACCCTTCCAGATGACTAGCTCCCAGCGCGGCTTCCTCTTGGGGTCCCCACCGACCTTTAAATGTGCAGACGCCCCCAGGCTCTCCCCTCGGGATGCCACCCTTCACGCTCTGCACACCCTTCCTGGTCAGTGCCACCCACTCACACACCTGTGAGGAATCCCAAACCTATCTCCGCCCTCCCCTCTCCACCCGATTCAGATTCCTACATCTGAGGCAGGCAGCAAACCCGAGTGCAGACCGTTAGCACCATCATCGCCTCATCATCCAGCACGGGACTTAAAAAGTGAGTGCATAAGGCTGTATTTAACATGGATAATCAACAAGGACCTGCCGTAGAGCACGGGAACTCTGCTCAATGTCAGGTGGCAGCTGGATGGGAGGGGGCTTTGGGGGAGAATGGATACACATATACATGTGGCTGAGTCCCTCCGCTGTTCATCTGAAACTGTCTGAACATCGTTGATCAGCTGTATCCCAATACAAAATAAAAGTGTAAAACAAAACAAAACAAAACAGTGAGTACACTTAGGGTGCCTGCATCTCCTCGGAATTAATGCACCACTCTCTGAACTCATTGCCCTTCCCCCAAACCTCCTCCTTCTGAACTTCCCTCTTTTCTCATCCTTTCAGTCCTGCGGCCGCATCGCTCTGGGACGTAGCTTCTTCCACCACCACGGGGCGCTCCCAGACACTTCCTATCAGTGGAGTCTTTCTCCGCTGGTCTAAACAAGGCCCAACCTCCTACTATAGTTACCACCAGAACTCCCTGCCGTCTTCTCTTCCTGTTCTCAATCTCTTTGCCTCAGGATTTATCAGAGTTTCATAAGCCTATCTAAACTAACTGCTTCAACGTGTGTGTGCTCAGTCACTCAGCTGTGTCTGCCTCTTTGTGGCCCTGTGGACGGTAGCCTGGCAGGCTCCTCTGTCCGTGGAACTTTCCAGGCAAAAATGCTGGAGTGGGTTGCCATTTCCTATTCCAAGGGATCTTCCTGACCCAGGGATCGAACCCACGTCTCCTGTGTCTCCAGGACTGGCAGGTGAATTCTTTACCACTGATGCCCCCTGGGAAGCCCTGCTTCAAAGTAGCGTCTGTGTTTTATTCATCTTTGTATTTCTAGCAACTTGGAAGTGCTCCTCTTACTACATGAGAATACAATAAATTTCATTCTGTAAACATTTTCATGAGTGCAGAGTGATTTATTATATAAAAGTGACTTACAGCTTCAGGACCTGCATTCAGGAGTTATTTCATTTGCTCAAAAGCAATATTTAAAAACAAAACCCTAAACCTCAACCTAATGTAAGAGTAAAAACCTGTTAGATTTCAGAGGGAATATATTGTCACATAGTAAATGTTCATGATAGTTACAAATGATTCTTAAGTGTATTGGTGATTTGTTATATCAGTATTTTACTGTTTAGCAGTCTGTAGTCAACAAGCATTTGATTAAAAAGTAAACTCCAAAACCTCAACCGAAAGTAAAAACCCGTTAAATTTGATGGTGTGTAGTATGTATGTTACCCTATCACCATACATGTCATTAAATTCTTCACTTATGCCTTAAAATTGAAACCGAGTGAGTAGATCCAAAAGTAATAAAGGCAGAATGAGACAAGGTGTCTTTCCAGCTGAACCTGGGTTAAACGCAGTGCTTTGCAGGCTGGGTCCACGCAGCTGACCTGCTCTGGAATTTCAGCTAAAATGACCGCAGGTTAACAGGAGAGCTGCAGCCTCTGGGAGGTAGCCCTGACTAGCCCTGAGGACTTCTCTGAGCTCCACAATCAACCTCTCAGTAACTAAGCACCCCCCTGGCAGTTGAACCACTCAGAACCTACCTGAGCTGTTCATGGGACACAGTTATATCAACAGAACACAGTAACAGTGAAAGTGTGATACACTTAAGCATGATGGAGAAGTAGATGCTATGTGATCCCTGGCTTCTCGGGGTTTGTAATCGGAGACAAGTAGAGCTCAATCATAAGGCAGAGCTGAGCCCAAGCAGCCGCCGAGTCCCTTGGTCTAAGGAGGGCAGGAGCGAGAGCATTCCAGAGACAGCCCCTAGTGCTCCCTCGGGTTGATGCCTGCCACTGAGTTTCTTACACCTGGCCAAGATCTCGCCTTTGATTTGTTCAGCAGCTTAACAAGAGGGACCTGGGACTAGAATGGATGTGACAGACAAGGGGACAACGCCAGGATAGGGAGCCCCAGGAAACCTGTCCTACGGAAGCAGGGGGCTCCCTGGAGATCAGCTCAGCTCTCCTTAACTAGTGCAGCCTTTTCTGGAGAAGCAACGCCCAATAAAATTCCAAGTGTACCTAGCACTTGTACTTCTAGGAGTTAATTCCACAGAGATGCATTCACAAACAGAGATATAGTTATAAAAGAATGCTCACTGTAGCAATATTAGCAGGAATGAAAAATAATGGAAGCAACTGCAATGACCAAAACAAGAAAACTAGCTAAAGAGACTACTAGGCAGCTACTTTTTTAAAAAATGTAGTGTGTGTGCTTTTATGTTCTTCTACTGTCAAGTGAAAAAAAAGCAAGTTCAAATAAAATAGGCGCACTATGCACCTACCTACGCTTTCAATAGAATGCCAGGCAAGTTTGTCACGCATAAGAAATTTGGGATGATACACAAGAATGGTTAATAATGGTAACTCCTGAGGAATAGGGAGGGAAAAGATTTACATCCAACTTCATATTTTTCTGGTCTGTTTTACATTTTTGACTAAATAAATGCATTTTTCTCATAATTTAAATAGGGCAAATTTTTTTTTTTTTTTAGTTTAAGGAAAAAAAAAAATCCTGCACGTCCCTTCCTCTGTGAATTCCTCCTGTTACCAACATCCCCCTCTCAGGCTTCTGTCTTGAAACCATACTAGTATCTCACATTTAACATAATTATTAGCAGCCTTGTGCTAATTTAGTCTTGATAGATTCTAATTCACCCCTTATTTGGGTTCTTAAGAAGAAAGTAAAATTCAGCACTGGACATATCCCTAAAATTGCTCAAAAGGCAACGGTTTGTTTTATAAACATCCTAAGCTAGCCCTCTGCACTTTACTTAGAATCCATCCACTACTGTATTGGGCTTCCCTCATAGATCAGTTGGCAAAGAATCTGCCTGCAATGCAGGAGACCCTGGTTCAATCCCTGGGTCGGGAAGATCCCCTGGAGAAGGGAATGGCAACCCATTCCAGTATTCTTGCCTGGAGAATGTCATGGACAGAGGAGCCTGGCAGGCTACATCCATGGGGTTGCAAGAGTCGGACATGACTTAGTGATTAAACCACCACCACTATTGTATTCTTCTCTGCCCTGTCCCCAAATACAAAAGAAAGTTCTACCTTGGATGGCTTGTAACCAAACAGCATTACAACAGCAACTTTAAAGTCCTCTCTGCTTAGATAGCCTTTGTTATCTTCATCGCATGCTTTAAATACCTAAAGAACATTAAGCATCTTCAGTTAATAAAACAGAAACCATTTGTTATACTATTTTTATTACTAACATATTAAGTTTACACCTCTCAAATTTAAAACTTAGCTGAAAAGCTGGGCTGAGAAGTGAGTTTCATTATCCTAATTTTAATTCTCAAAACACCTTAATGATGTGCTAAAATTTACTACCCCCTCCAAAAAAGTGCAAATGATTTATCGGTAGGTTAATTCTTTTAAACCATCGGGATAAATTCTACCCAAAATTCAATGCAAGAATGAGGAAGGTGAGGCAACGGGGACGGCTTTGAAAGGCGGGAGGACAGATGCAGGTTACAGCTTATTATAAAGAGACTCTGTCGCAGAGAGCAGAAGGAGGTTGGAAGTAGGAAGAACACTAGACGGGGATCCAGAAGCTTGGAAGCCCCAGGGTGGGTCATTAGCCATCACACCTCGGGGCTGAACGAGACCCGAGCGAGGGGATGGCGTAAGCGCCCCGGGTCAAGCCGAAGTCCGAGACCCAGCACTCCGGACACCTACTTCCACCCACTTCTTGTGCTCTGGGGAACTGGCTTCCCACGTTCGTGGCCGGGCGCCGGCCTGGGAGTAAAACATCGCGACAGCCGCACGGAAGTCCAAACAGCAGAACCCACAAGCTCTGCTGCCAAATCCCCCGGGCCGGGACCGCCAGCCCCGCTCGGCGCAGTCCCGGAAGCTGAGCTTCGCAGGGCACCTCCAAAGTCTCCTCTCATTGGACGACCTGCGAGCCACCGGCGTTGATCCCGCAGCTCTATTGGCCAGAGGCTTTGTTTAGCAACGTTTCCTTGGAACAGCCTATGGCAAAGAGGCCCTCAGGCCCGCCCCCAGTCCTGGCTCCGCCCCCCTAGTTTTATTAACTCTTGGAACAGCCTAAAAGAGAACAGTCATGGGTGTTCATTGGAAGGACTGATGTTGAAGCTGAAACTTTGGCAACCTGATGCGAAGAGCTTACTCATTTGAAAAGATCCTGACGTTGGGAAAGATTGAGGGCAGGAGGAGAAGGGGACGACAGAGGATGAGATGGCTGGTTGGCATCACCGACTCAATGAACATGGGTTTGGGTGGACTCCGGGAGTTGGTGATGGACAGGGAGGCCTGGAGTGCTGCAGTCCATGGGTTCACGAAGATTCGGATACGACTGAGCGACTGAACTGAACTGAACTGGAACAGCCTACAGCAGAGAGGCCCTCAGGCCTGCCCCCCAGCCCTGGCTGCGCCCCTCTAGTTTCTCCCTACGAGGCTGAGACACGTGCTCGCCCAGGCGCTGTTTCCTGCGTGATTCTTTTCATTTCCTGTTCCCACGCCTTGCAGCGTTTACTTTTGATAATTTCGATCAATGACACTATGCTAGGCGTCATAAGAGACACAGAAAGAGTGTGAACAAAGCATAAAAGGAGCCTAGCACTAAGCCCTGTGCCTGGCGCAAAGCAGACGTTCAATAAACCAGTGAGCCCTTAGGACGTTTCCATCAAGTTATTCCATCCAGCTTTCTGGGAGGGGTGGAAATGCCAAGACCGGCCTCAAGATCACTGAGTTCAAACTCCATGGCAAATTCCTTACTAAACGCAAGGGATAGGGCGAGGGTTCCACTTTGCAAGAGTTTATCTCAGACCCCTCTCCTGGCAAATCAGGAAGATTAATAAGGCAACACACACACCTGCTTTAACAAAGAAACCAATATTCGAGGTTGAGTCTGAGGGAGCTCATTTAGCCTTTCGTCTTACAACAGGGTATACAGTCTGTGCCCCAGGAGAAGCCGGAACACTGGTCTCAGGTTTCAGCTTCCTCTAACCTCTCAGCTGATCCTCTCCCTTTGAAAAGAAACCCTCCTGCCTCGAGCTCCGGGAGCCTGAAATTAGGAGATTCCCCCTAATCTCCTGAAGAGGATGTGTTTTGCTGATCAGCTACGAGGAAAGAGGGAAACTTTTCCTCCTCTCTCCTGCTTTTGTCGGCCGGGGCCAGGCGGCGAGAGGACAGGTAAAGGCGGACGGGACTCCTCGTCGCCCCTTTCTGGAGGGGTCCGCGGCGGTCCCCGGGTCACCCGGCGGGCTTTAGGACCCAGCGGCACGCGTCCCGGAAGGGGCAGGGGCGGGGCCACGCGGCGCGCGCCGGGCCGGCGGGTTTGAATCGCGCGCATGCGCGAGCTCGGAGGACGGAGCGGGGTCCCGGGCGGACGCGCGCTCGGGGACTTTGGACACTAAACCTGTGGAGGCCGCGGCGGGAGTGCTGCGCCTCCTCTCATCCCGGCCCGGTGTGCGGGAAGCCCGGGTCCGGCGCCTCCTCACGGGCCAGCGGGCTTGGAGGCGGGTCCGGAGGGCAGCGGAGCGCCCAGGTAGGGCCCTCCTGGGCCTCGGCGGCCTCTTCTGAGGGGACCGGGGTCCGCCGGGAGCTCTCCTCCGCGGGTTCTTACTCTGGCCTCTCGGTGGGCGGGCGGGCGGGCGGCTTCGGCCGTCCGCGAGCGCGCCGGCGCTCACTCTGTGCTGTTCCCGGCCAGAGGGAGCTGTCGTGCTGCTTCCAGAGGTGAGACTTGCGAGCGTGAGGTGAGGGGGCGCACGGCAGAGCTGTGCCCGGCCCGAGGCAAACGCAGAGGAAAGTTAGCGGCTGTTCTTTCTTTTTCCGTGTACCTCCGCGTCCGCGCCCTTCGCTGCCTCCCCTCCGCCTTCTCCAGCCCCCAGGGCCCCCGCAGGAGCCGTCTCCTTCCACTTCTGTCCCCTTCCAAACCATTCTCCGGACAGAGCTGTTGTTCAGTCTCGCGCGCGTGTCCATCTCTTTGCGACCCCATGGACAGCAGCAGCCAGTCTCCTCTGTCCATCACCAACTCCCCGAGTTTGCTCAAATCAGGTCCATTGAGTCAGTGATACCGTCCAACCATCTCATCCTCTGTCGTCCCCTGCTCCTGCCAGAGGATGTTGAAACACAGAGGTGTAGAGAGCCGAATATTTTTTTTTTTTTGGAGGTGGGGGGAGCCAAATATTTTAAAAGTAAATCGGGCAAGGTACTCCCCTTCAGTGTAGCCCTACTGCTCTTATAGTAAAATCCAGAATCTGTAACTTAACTCCTTATTCCTGCCCTCCGCCTTCACCTTGGACCATCTCCCTGTCTCCCTTACCCAGGTCCGGGTCTGTTTTCTGGAGTTACTGCAGCCTTCTTCTGGCCTGGCCTTTGCAGGTTGGGTTCTTTCACTTGGAATACTTTTCTTTCCCACCTCCACTTTATTTGGCTATTTCCTTTTCTTCTTTCGGCGCTCAGTTAAATGTTAAATTCAGGATATTATAAGGTAAAGGCATCTGTGTTACTTTCTCATACCTATGAAGTATAATGAATATTTGTAAAGATATCTTGGTCTTCTTGGCTCTCTTTGTTCCTGTCTGTTTCTTTCTCCCTCAAGTATAACCTTTCCTAAGGCGGAAGCTGTTTCTATGCTCTTAATTTCTTATTCCCAGAGCTTGGCACATAGTAACTGCTCAATAAACATTTTCTGGACAAGCAAACTCTGGGAGGTAGATCTGATACCCATTTTCAGAGGAGAAAATTGAGGCTGAGCGGTTATGTAACCAGCCCAAGTGCATATTTACCACCTAGTAATGACTGGATTTTATATTGGAGTCCATATTTGCCCACTACTGGCCACACCTGGCCTCAGTTGAAATTGATTCCCATGCCCTCCTGATGGTTTGCAAGCTCTGTGAGAAGCAGCTGGAAGTGTAAAACAAATAGCTCAGCTGGGACTGGGATGGTAGGGGGAGAGGAGGAGCTAGCAGCTTTAAGAGGAGTATACATTTGCATTCACAAATTTTTTTTTAGTATCGAATAGACACTGATGTTATGAGTTGGCATTTGGTGGTAGAGTTTCTTTAGATTTCTACCCTCCTTGGCATAGTAGCTTAATGCGGTGTTTGCCGAATTTCATTAATGTGGTTGGTTCAGTTCAGTTCAGTCGCTCAGTCGTGTCCCACTCTTTGCAACCCCATGAATCGCAGTACACCAGGCCTCCCTGTCCATCACCAACTCCCAGAGTCCACTCAGACTCATGTCCATCGAGTCGGTGATGCCATCCAGCCATCTCATCCTCTGTCGTCCCCTTCTCCTGCCCCCAATCCCTCCCAGCATCAGGGTCTTTCCAGTGAGTCAGCTCTTCACATGAGGTGGCCAAAGTACTGGAGTTTCAGCTTCAGCCTCAGTCGTTGGTTACTTCCCCAGTTTTGTCTTACTCTCAACAGCTACGGTCTTGGATAAGGCAATGGCAGCCCACTCCAGTGTTCTTGCCTGGAGAATCCCAGGGACAGGGGAGCCTGGTGGGCTGCCATCTATGGGGTTGCACAGAGTTGGCCACGACTGAAGCGACTTAGCAGCAACAGCTATACCTCTATTTGCTTAATGTTTTTATTTGAACCCACTTTTACATAAAAACTGTCTTTAAGAAGTAAACTTTAGTTACTGTAAATGTCATGGAGCCATTAGATACCTCCTGCTCACATTAAACCAAAGTGTTACTGGTGCCTGCAGAAGAACCCAAAGCCCATTGTTTGTTCAAAAGCAGGATTAAAGGCATTTCTACAAACAACCTCCTCCTTAATTAAGCTGAGGGATTGGATAGGAATGGAAAAGAGAGGTAGTTTCATAATGAGATGTTAATGTCAGGTCCCAGTCATCTCCACTTTGGTAAACACTGTACTTTGATGACCCAAATGGTAAATATCAGATCTTAGAATCAGCGCACGTGGGTTGTAATTCTGATTCTACTGCCATCCCTTACCCAGAGAGTGATGTTAGACCTGTGCTGTGCCAGACACCACCCAGGCATTTATCAAGATCCAGGTGGAAAGACGAGAGGAGAAGGTGAGCAGGGTTTCTGCTGTCACTTTATTTGCCAGGTTCTCATGGCAGATTCTGCTCATGTGCCCTGAACACTCACACAGCAGCTGATGTTAGCGGAAACAGCTCAGCATCTGCTAAGGTCAGGTGTGCTATATGTGTGTCCTAATAGCTCAGGACACGGAATTTAAGAGGAAGAGAATGAGTTTGCCAGTGTCTGTGCGACTCTATGGACTGTAGCCTGCCAGTCTCCTCTGTCTGTGGAATTCTCCAGGGGAGAATACTGCAGTGGGTTGCCCTGCCCTCCTCCAGGGGATCTTCCCGACCCAGGGATCGAACCCCACTTTTTTTTGTCTATGTCTCCTGCATTGCCAGGCTTGTTCTTTACCAGTAGTGCCACCTGGAAACTGGTGAATGGGAAATAACAAGATTTTTGCCTTTCTTTTCCAGAAGCATGACGTCCCAGGAAGGCAATTATGGGAAGTGGACGATATCCAGTAGTGATGAAAGTGAGGAGGAGAAGCCACAGCTGGACAAGCCATCTGCCTCTCTCCTCCCCCATGCCAGGCAGGGGGCCACTGGGCAGCCGCAGTACACCTGCTCCGAGGCTCGGAAAGCCGCCCACAGGAGGAAGCTGGAGCCCGTGAAATTCAGCACCACAGACTCAGTTTCAGAAGCTTCACCTTGCAAAAGACAGAAGAGCGGTTCCCAGGAGGACCTCGGCTGGTGTCTGTCCAGCAGTGAAGATGAACTGCCTCGAGAGCTGCAGCAGGAGCAGTCGAAGGCCTCGAGGGTCAAAGAGGAGAAAGGTCCCCCTTCTCCCAGGTACCGTGCGGCTCGGGGAGCTGGGCCTCACGGCCCCCCGACCAGCCATGGGCTCCCGGAGGAGGAAGATGAGCAGGAAACGTCGGGGGAAGGCCAGGATGTCTGGGACTTGCTGGATAAAGGGAACCCCTTCCGGTTCTACCTCACGAGAGTCTCCGGGATTAAGCCCAAGTATAACACGGCAGCCCTCCACGTCAAGGGTGAGTGAAGCTGGGGAACGGGAGCCCTCACTGTGTCGAGGTGGTCCCCCTCGGTAGACAGGAGGGCGGCCTAGGAAGGACCTCCAGGAACGCTTCTGAACCACTCTTAGGGAAAAATAGCCATTTTCACAGGCAGATGGATTTGTTTGACAGCAAACTGTTTACTTAGGTCAGGAAACCAGTGGCTGCTTTCCACAGCCCAGTAGATCAGGGGTCCCCAACCTCTAGGATCTAATGGCTGATGATTTGAGGTGGAGCTGATGTCATAACAGTAGAAATAAAGTGCGCAGTAAATGTCATGCACTTGAGTCATCTGGAAACACTCCCCCACTCCAGTCCGTGGAAAAATTGTCTTCCACAAAATCAGTCCCTGATGCCAAAAGGGTTGGGGACCACGGCTGTGCACCAGCCTGGTGGAAGCCTTCAGACAGTGCTTAGCGTTGCTTCACTTGTAAAGGTTAAACTTGATCCGGTAACACTTTATCAAGAAAGTAGCCAGTAATTATCAGCAGTAATTCCCTTGGACCAGAGCATCAGCATCCCCTGGAGCTTATTAAAAGTGCCAGTTCTCAGCCTCCGCTCCAGATTCCTTGCATCAGACTCTGGGAGCCCGGCCCTGCAGTCTGTTTTCAGAAGCTTTTCGGGGAATTATTGCCTGAGCGAGTTTGAGAACCACTGTGTGAAAGCCTGGGTTTGGTTCTGGGTGAAAACAAGAGTGCCCTCGTCTTTGGTTTCTATCTCCAGGGAACATCTGTGTGATATTGTGATATATATAGATATTTGGTGTTCCCTCCTTATAGTTGGTTTTTTGTTTGTTTGTTGTTGTTGTTGTTGTTGTTTTTTGTCCCAGGTTCCTGAAATAGCTCCAAAGTAATTAAAGGTGAAAGGAGTGTATTTTGTTATTCCTAAGGAGCCCTTCAACCCCACCTGTTTTTTTTAATGCAGAGACTTTTGGAATGCCTCTAGGAATGGGGGGAAGGGGCTGGTTGCCTGGGGAACCAACCTTGGGGTTAAAGTTGGAACTTTGAGCCCCAACCCCCACCTCTGGGGAGAGGTCCAATCACTCACTAGTGGCCAATGATTTAATTAGTCTTGCCTGTGCAATGAAGCCTCCCTTTAGAGGTTGGCAGAGCTTCCAGGTTGGTGTCTACAGGAGGTGCTGGGCCTGGGTGCACCTGGAGGGGTGTGGCGGGCCCCTCCCCCATGCCCAGGCCTGTGCGCCGCTTCCTCTGGCTGTTCCCAAGTTGTATCCCCTTATAAAACACTGGTGATCTGGGGAATAGAGGGCCTTCCCGAGTTCTGTGAGGCGCTGCGCAGATTGTCAAACCCAAGAAGAGGGGCGGTGGGCGTAGCTGAGCAGCACAGGGATCTGGGCCCCTGGCTGGCCTCTGAGCCAGAGGCGGGGCAGCCCTCCGCCTGCGCCGGGCGGGCGCCGTCAGAGTGTAGTTCCCCTGTGGGACAGGCAGCCGGTGTCTGGAGGACGGCGCTGTGAGGGAACACCCACGCTCCCCGCTGCACCTGTGGTCACACGCATCGGGTGCAGAGAGGAAACAAGGCTTGCCTTTGAGAGGCTGGCAGGAGCTCCAGAATCCTGGGCACAAGACTTGAATCCCGGCCTCAGCATTTGCCTGCTGTGTTGGTAATTGACAAAGGACCTTTGTTGTCGTTCTGACTCCCTGCGACCCCATGGACCGCAGCACACCAGGCCTCCCTGTCCATCACCAAGTCCCAGAGTTTACTCAAACTCATGTCCATTGAGTTAGTGATGCCATCCAACCATCTCATCCTCTGTCATCTCATCCCCTTCTCCTCCTGCCTTCAGTCTTTCCCAGCATCAGGGTCTTTCCCAATGAGTCAGTTCTTCAAGTCATATGGCCGAAGTATTGGAGCGTCAGCAAACAAAGGACCAAACTTTCTTCAGAGTTTTGGTTTACTCACCCTTAAATTGAGGATTCAGAAAAAAGAAAACGGGGCTGGGGGAGAAAACACATAAAGTGCCCAGCACAGCATATTCACATAGTCACATAGCACGTATACAAAATAAACATTGTCACCCTTATTTCACAGTACCTTTCTTGCCCACATTCAAGAACAGATTGTGTTCACTGTGAATAGTGTTTTAATCACATCGAATGTGTAATTGACCCAAAGTTTCCTTCAGGGTTTTCTGTAACGCCTTGTGGAATCCCTGAGCAAACTTTTTGGCCAAACCAATACATCTTGTGTGTGATGTATAAATGTTAGTGTATTTAATTCCATGCTATAAAGACTTTGATTCTACAAGTTGTTTAAACATTTTTCCTTTCTGCAAATGTCTGCCTGCTCTGAGGAAATGTAAGATAGATTTCAGTGTCATATTGAGAGAGATTGAAACAGGAAATAGAGAGCTATGCAAGGCTTTGCTATATATAATAAACTGATAACACTAGCTGTTAGCACCAAGATACGAAGGAAGGGGAAGTAACATTTATGATAGGAACTTTTATGTGGGTTATATAGGTGATCTCCTTTAATTCTCATAGTGACCTTGTGAATAGATGCTAACAGTTGTCCTCCTTGAATCTGTGACCGATCTGCAGAGAAGTTGAATAAACCTGCCCAAGGTCATAGGAATATAGTTGAACTGGGATTTGAACGCAGGCATTCTGGCATCATGGCTTCCCTTGTGGCTCAGCTGGTAAAGAATCCGCCTGCAAAGTGGGAGACCAGGGTTCTATTCCTGAGTTGAGAATATTCCCTGGAGAAGGGAAATGCTACCCACTTCAGTATCCTGGCCTGGAGAATTCCGTGGACTGTATGGTCCATGGGGTTGCAAAGAGTCGGACACAACTGAGTGACTTGCAGTTTCATTCTGGCATGAAATGCATGCTCCTATGGTATCCCACACCAGCAAATGCCATAACTGTAGGTTATTTAGAAGATCTCGTGGAGGAAGAGGAACTTCAGATAATTCAGAAAGGTAGAAAGAGGGGCTGCAATGGGAGGACATGGGGAAACAACATAGCGTGAGTTCTCTTTGATTGATCAACTCTGGAGCTTCCAGAGCTTCCCTTCCTTGGTGGTCCAGTGGTTAAGACACTCTGCTTCCCCTGCAGGGAGCATGGCTTCAGTCCCTGGCCAGGGAGCTAAGATTCCACAAGTCACATGCGGCCCAAAAATAGAAGAAGGAAAAATTTTTTTTTAATTAATAAGAGATTTGGAAAAAGGAAGGATGTGTATCATTATCGTTCTCATTGACAGTTTTTAAAATTGACTAGTCATCCAGTTCTAAAGTTGTGGATCTTGATTTTTTTTCCCATCATGTTTGGTTAAATAATAGTAATACATGATAAATATTATCAGCCCAGGGAAATTTTCTCTTGAATTTTCTGGAACATTAAAGTCTAGCCTCATAGTAACTCTTCAGTGCACTGTTTTCTAAGCCAAATTCTGCTCGTCAGTGACTGTTTAATAAGTCAGTTGTGATCATTATTAGGTAATTTTTATCAAAAATATGAATTTGATGTTTTGTCTTTTCAGATATTTTATCTCCTCTCTTTGGGACACTTGTTTCTTCAGCTCAGGTGAGTTTCCAGTTTGGTCTTTGGATGGGAGGGGGACACATAAACCACTCTGTAGGAAAATGAGCAGTGGGACCGCTGGGTCAGTCCCGTGCAGGGTCCCCAAGGTGGCACCTACCTGGAGGCCAGCACCCAGCACCACGGTTGTGGGATCCACCAGCCTGGAACATGGATGCACACTCACTGGGGCTTCTGACTCTCGGTTTCCTGACTGGCCAGGAAATCATCCTGGAAGTTCCACCCCGGGGGATTTCTCTCTGGCACGCTGATAATTTCATGGGACTCTGGTGCAGCTCCTTGGGAGGTGTGGGTAGAGAGATGAGGGCCACATCAAGTTTGATTTGATTTAGAGAAATAAATGAGAAATTTCCTACACCCTCCAAAGAGAAGCGAGGAAAAGTTACGGATGTAGATGTGTCTGCATGTTTGATTGCTCCTGCCTGACAGGCCTGGTCCCCTTGTGTTGATAAATCACCTTAAGGTGCCAGGCTTTCCAGCAGATAGAACAAGGTCTTGTCCCTAAAGAAGGCAAAGCTTCCTATGTGCTTCACGTTCTGCTTGGCGGCAGAAATCCTCGTCTCCAGATGGAACATGGGGTGAATCTGTGTGTGTGTTCTTCCAGCTAGGATGAGTCGTTATGTTCAGGAGTGGGGCCAGGGACTACCCAGGCGTGGGGAGGACACCCATAGGTAAGCCTGGTCCAGAGCTTGTAGTCTGATAAGCCTGTAGTGAATGTCCAATTCCAGACACCTGTTAACAAACCTAACTCAATAGATTGCACACATTGCAACTGAGAGATTCCGCCTTCTCCGGGGGATCTTCTCAGCCCAGGGTCTCTGGCACTGCAGGCAGATTCGTTACCATCTGAGCCAGTAGGGAGGCCCCTTCATTACGTTATGGAAAACCCAAAGTGACTTTTCCACCAGCTAAATACAAATGCTGCCGAAGTGTGCAGGGATAATTTTCTGTTTTCTCAGGCACTCCCCCACTGACTCAGAACCTTTAAGCCATGTATTCCCCTCAGCATGTATTTTAGGTTTGTGAGTATTGCAGCATAATGGTCCAGGTTTATAAATAGCAGTGTGTGTAGTTCATGATTGGTTTAGATTCTATTTGAGTTCAGTAAGTGACAGTTCTCCTTATGAACTGCTTTTCTGAATTGCCCGTGACATCTTTTCTTTCCTCCCATCTAGTTTAACTACTGCTTTGACGTGGACTGGCTTGTAAAACAGTATCCACCAGAGTTCAGGTGAGTTCTGCAGAATGATGGATGATGTCAAAATTCTAGTTAATGGAGCTTGAAAACACAAGGTCTGTGTTTCTCAGGCACCTGCTGAGAATATTGAATATTTCTTTGAATATTTCTTTTGAAACTATTGAAATCTTTATAACATTATAATGGGAAAGCAGCCTTTTTAAAAAAAATCTATTCTAAACTACAATTCTAAACTGTTAAGCCTTCTCAGTACAGACTTTAGCATGTCCCTCTGTTCTGTCCAGAAGTAGGGTAGGATAAATTTCAACCTGAATAGAAGAATTTTAGGTCCAGTGCTCATAGGAAGGAAAAGGTCATTGCCACCTTCGTTCTTGACCAGTAAGCCTGCACTTCACTTAGCACTTTGATGCTGGGTGGTTTTTTCGTTTTGTTTGTTTGAGTCTCTCTCGTTTCACAGGTGATTCTTCCTATAGCTCAGAAGTTAATGCAGGAGTCATGGGGCCTTCCATGATGCAGATATGGAGGTGATGTTAGGCAGTGCAGACCAAGTAAAGATCCCATTGCATGGTGACATGCCACCTGTCCCATTTCCAGTACATCCACTTGGCAGAATCCGTAGCAGCAAGTAAAGTAGAGGGATACACATGCAGGAAAATGGTTGTCAGGATCCTCAAAGTCCATGTTGCATTGAGCACATCAGACTGTGCGAACTTTCATTCACCCCTAATTGTATGTAGGGGTGTGTGTGTGTGCGACTCAGTCGTGTCCGACGTGTGTGACCCCATGGGCTGTAGCCCACCAGGCTCCTCTGTCCATGGAACTCTCCAGGCAAGAACAGTGGAGTAGGTCATCATGGCCTTCTCCAGGGCATCCCGACCCAGGGATTGAATCCTGGTCTCCTGCATTGCAGACAGACTCTACCATCTGTGCCACCAGGGAAGCCCTATAGACAGAACGCTGCTGGAACTCCCCAAGCAGCTTCGATACTCAGACCCGTAGCATGTGAGACTAGTCGCAGCTGCGTGTGACGGAAAGACGGAAATAACAACGACTTAAACCAGGGCTTCCCAGGCGGCTCAGTGGGAAAGGATCCCCCTGCAGTGCAGGAGACTCGGGTTCAGTCCTTGGTCAGGAAGATACCTACCCCTTTATTCTGGCCTGGAAAGTTCCGTGGCCAGAGGAGCCTGGCGGGCTGTAGTCCATGGGTTGCAAACAGTTGGACACAACTGAGCATACATGCACACAAATCTGAGAGAGAATTTCTCCAGCCTGTTCAAAGGACTGGGTGATGCCTGTTCACATTAGGGAGGGCGATCTGCTTTCCTGAGCCACCAATTCAAATGCGCATGGTATCCAGAAACGCCCTCGCAGACACACCCAGAAATAATGTTATATCTTGGCCCTCTTGGCCCTGTGAAGTTGGCACACAAAATTAACCATCTTGCAGCCTTTTTGTGATAGTTTTTAGAACACTGATAAATTTGAAGTGAGGCTTCCCTGGTGGTTCAGTGAAAGAATCTGCCTGCCAGTGCGGGGGAGGCCAGTTTAATCCCTGGGTCAGGAAAATCCCCTGGAGGAGGAAATGGCAACTGACTCCAGTATTCTTGCCTGGAGAGTCCCATGGATAGAGGTTCCTGGCAGGCTACAATCCATGGGGTCGCAAACTGAGCACGCACATGCCAATTTGAAGTAATTAATGAAGACTACTACTTCTGTCAGTAATGTTTAATCTTTAAAAAAAAAAAAGCTCATGATCTGATAACACAAACAATTTCTGGACGGTGGAGTCACGGTTATCTATTACGTTATTCTCTGTGCTGCTTTTCCGGTTGCAAAACAGAGAATTTGTTCCAGGTAGAGAGCGACTGAGAAGATGTGTTTCTTGGTTTTATTTTTCCTGAACATATTAGCATAAAGCTGTTAGGGGTTAGGCATTAGTCCCAGACGAGTGTTTTCTGTCATGTTTCTTTTTAGTTGAGCCTTGTCCCTTCCTGTATGACAGAGAATCATTCTGCATGTGACTGATGGCCGTGGAAGTTGTTCATCTTACTTGATTGCTTGTTGGAGAAAAATCCAATTTTTGTTTTGTTGGGCGAGCTTGTAAAAATATATTGACTTCTAAGGATTATGTCACTTCAAATTAACCAGAGTAGATCATGGTTCTCTTAAAAGCCTTTTTAATCTATTACTGCAGAATATTTTTTTTCAAACTTTAAACTTCTTATTTTGTATTGGGGTATAACCAATTAATAATGTTGTGGTAGTTTCAGGTTGAACAGTGAAGGGACTCAGCCAGACATATACATGTATCCATTCTCCCCCACACCAGCCTCCCATCCAGGCTGACACGTAACATTGACTAGAGTTCCGTGTGCTATACAGTTGGCCCCTGTTATCCATGTTGAATATAGCAGTGTGTACATGACCTTGCCAAACTCCCTAACTGTCTCTTCCCCACCTCCGGCCACGGTAAGTTCCTTTTCTAAGTCTGTAAGTCTCTTTCAGTTTTGTAAGTTCATTTGTATCATTTCTTTTTAGATTCCACATATAAGGGATGTCATACTGTATTTCTCCTTCTCTGACTTTCTTCACTCAGAGTGAATCTCTCTAGGTCCATCCATGTTGCTGCCAATGACATTATTTCTTTCTTTTTTATGGCTGAGTAATATTCCACTGTATATATGTACCACATCTTCTTTATCCATTCCTCTATCGATGGATATTTAGGTTGCTTCCATGTCTCGGCTATTGTAAACAGTGCTCCTGCAGAATATATTGTCCTTTTGAATTGAAAAATAAGGCATTTTTAATGCACATTGGGCTCTGTTTCACTGAAATATAACTACCTCCTAGTGAATCCGCATGCGTGGACCTGGGCCCTTTCACTCTTGTATCTTGGGGATGTGATGCAGGCCTCACACACAGCAGGTATTTAATGAATGGATGGCTAGTGAGGAAGTGACCTATTGTTTGGTCCAAAGCAAGGGAAAGAAAAGAGCAGCACACTCGACAACACTAAGTGTGTATCTCTTAATCTAATAACACAGAACTGATGATGCGTCCTTTTTGACCAAAGAAGATAATTACTCAAGGACTTTGGATAGTCCCAGCCCCTCTGGGTCACTGCAGAGATTCAGGATCAGGCCCCGGGGCCCCCTTATAAAGGTAACCACTTAGCAAAGTGATCACTTGCCCTGTGCTGGCCCTGCACTCAGTCACCACACAGGCCAGACACACGTCGGTGGTCAGCCTTCCTTCACTGGGCACCAGACCAGCTTCATGAAGGAGGGATTTCAAATACCTGTGATCTCCTTTCAGGAAGAAACCAGTCCTCCTTGTGCATGGCGACAAACGGGAAGCAAAGGCTCACCTCGTTGCCGAGGCAAAGCCTTACGGGAATGTCACCCTCTGCCAGGTAAGCTGCTTATTGCCATTCGAGATCTCACTTAGGCTGAGAGCTGGAAGGAAATTGTCGACCCTCCTGATGCAGGAATCCTCTCTGCAGCATCACCAGCAGACGTCTATCCAGCCTTGGCTTAAATTCTTCCTGAGGTCGCCTGTCCTGTTTGTGCGTAGCCCTCATGGTTGAAAGCTTTTTCTCTATGTTGACCCAATTTCTCTGTAATTAGTCAGGGTCTCCAGAGAAGCAGAACCTGTGAGGTTGTACCTGTGTTTGAATTTGTAGAGACATTTACTGTAGAAGAGCTGGCTCACATGATTGTGTGGGCTGGCAAGTCCAACATCGGCAGGGTAGGCTAGACACCTTGAGAAGCATTGATGTTACAGTTTGGGTCCAAAGACCGACTGGAAACTGATTCCCTGTTCCTTGTGGGAACTTGTCTTTTAATTTTTTTTTTCTCTTAACAACTTCAACTGACTGATTAAGGCTCACAAACATACTGGAGGGTAATCTCCTTTCCTTACAGTCCACTGATTTAAATGTTGTTGTTCAGTCACTAAGTTGTGTCTGAGTTTTTGTGACCCATGGACTGTAGCATGCCAGCCTCCTCTGTATTCCCGTGTCCTGGAATTTGCTCAAATTCATTGATTTAAATGTTAATCTTCTAAAAAAAAAAGAGCCTTCACACAACATGTCACCAGATATCTGGGCACTGTGGCCTGTCCACGCTGACACGGCCTTCTTTCCCCGCCTTCCGCCTTGGTTCTCACTTTCCCCTCTGGAGTCACACAACCTCCTTGCCGGTGTCAGTGGTTCTCAGATTTGAAGTCATTTATTTCATCTTCCTAGTTTTCTCATTCAGGTTCCAGCATTTGCTTTCTTCAGCTGTACCTGGTGTATCAAGGGTTCCCTATCTTTCCCCAAGCTGCCAGTCTGCTGGTTGGCATCTCTTTTGACCATGGCCCTCTGGAAACGGAGGTTTCAACGTGGAGCAGGTTCTCTGGAGTCAGTTCAGTGGCGGTTTCTGTGAGGGCAGCTTCAAACTGGTAGTTTTTATTGTGACCACCTACCTTATATTAGCTGCCATTGACATTTTACCCACAGCCCTTAGATCCTTTTTAAACACTTTTTTTTTTTATGTGGACCATTTTTGAAGTCTTTATTGAATTTGTTACAATATCACTTCTGTTGTTTATGTTCTGCTTTTTTAGGCAGCAAAGCTTGTGAGATCTTAGCTCTCCGAACAGGGATCAAACCCACACGCCCTGCACTGGAAGGCGAAGTCCTAAGCACTAGACCACCCGGGATGTCCTGTCCCTAGTTCTTTTCACAAGAATCACCTAATACTCGAGAGACTCAGACTGAAACCCAGCCTGTTAGAAAACTGCCTTGCGACTTGCACAGTACATATGATTCAAGTCCCAGGAGGGGCAGTCACTGGTCTCATAACAGGCTTGTTTTGCTGGCACCAAAGCAGAGAGGCGGCAAAGAGAAGGCCGCTGCCCAACTTCTTTCCTGTCGTCATTCAGTCACTCAGTCGTGTCCAGCTCTTTGCCACCCCGTGGACTGCAGCACGCCAGGCTTCCCTGTTCTTCACTGTCTCCCAGAGTTAGCTCAGACCTGATGCCACACAACCATCTCGTCCTCTGTCGCCCTCTTCTCCTCCTGACCTCAATTTTTTCGTTTCTTTCTACATCCCTGTAATTTTGTCCTGATACTTTCCAGTCAGTACATGGAGTTTCCTTCGGACTCATTGTTTTAGACTCCATGTCTGAAAGGGTCTTTTTATGTGTGACATTTCCTGTAAGAATTAAGGAATGTTGATGATTTCCTTCCTGTGGTGGTTCTCAAGTGGCTGGTGAATGTGCGCCTTTTCTTGTATGAGCAGGTATGTCAGTGCATTCCTCAGCAGCTTGATGAATGAATCTTTCATGGCCCTTTTCTCTCCTGGCCAATAGCTTAGTGCAATTGACTCAGGACTTCTGCTCTTGGAGTACAGAGACAAGAGTAAATTACATAGAACCTGATTATTTTTATTTTCCACTTACTTTCTAATGTCCTTTTTCCTCCATTCATGCAAGATTAAAGAATTCCAGCTCCCAGTTGTTTTATCATTCTTCAGCTGTAGAATATTAACTGTGTATGTGTATTATTTTAAAGATAAAAACAGTGAGAAATCTCAATCTGATCAATTTTAAACCCATCTCACAACGTTTTTCCTGTGATTTAACTCACCGTACTTTATGTATTTGGAGTTTTAAATCATTCTGTCTCTTTAACCATTACTGTTTAGGCTCGCCTTCTGCACAAGATCCTCCTTTGATTAGCAGTTGCCTAAAATCTGTTTTGCATTTGTTTCCAAAGACAGCAGAGGTTAAACTGAAGTAGGATAGCGCTTAAAATGGGCAGAAAATAAATGACACAGGAATCCTGACAACCATCAATAAAATCGATGGAAATACAAAGTGTTTTTCACATGTACTGAAGTTTAGGAGAGGTGGTAGCGTGCTTCAGGGAAGCCACTAGAGGGCGCAACGAGCCTTGTCTTCGGAACCTGTGTTCCGTTCAGTTGCTCAGTCCTATTCGATTCCTTGCGACCCCATGGACTGCTGCCCACCAGGCTTCCCTGTCCATCACAAACTCCTGGAGCTTACTCAGACTTGTGTCCATCGAGTTGGTGGTACCGTCCATCCTCTGTCATCCCCTTCTTCCCCCACCTCCAGTCTTTCCCAGCACCAGGGTCTTTTCCAGTGAGTCAGTTCTTCACATCAGGTGGCCAAAGTATTGGAGCTTCAACATCAGTCCTTCCAATGAATATTCAGGCTTGATTGCCTTTAGGACGGACTGGTTGGATCTCCTTGCAGTCCAAGAGACCCTCAAGAGCCTTCTCCAACACCACAATTCAAAAGCATCAGTTCTTTGGCACTCAGCCTTCTTTGTGGTCCAACTCTCACATCCACATGACTACTGGAACTCCTGTATACAAAATAGATGACCAACAAGGACCTATTGTATAGCACAGGGAACTATACTCAGTATTTTATAGTGATTACCTGTGAGGGAAAAAAAATCTGAAAAGGAGTATATATCTATACACACACATATGCTATGCACATATATATACACAAAGGGCCATATACACACATATGTATGTATACGTATAGAATTGAATCACTTTGCTGTACTCCTGAAACTAACAGAAGGTTGTAAGTCATCTCTTCTTCGATTAACAACAAAGACATGAATTACACCTTCCTGCCCACTCTTACCCTGAGTTTGTGAGGGTGGTAAACGCAGCCACCTGTCCGTGAGCATCGCCAGGACGGGCTGTGTCCTTCTCACCCACGTGCTCCAGGTGCCCATCGCTGCCCCAGGGCCATCTGGAGAGAGTGGGCGGGGGTGCACTCTGCCTTTAATAGTGCTTGCTTCCGTTTGTAGAGCGCTTACTCCATAGAGCTCCTTTTCCTAACCACTTTCAGTGTACTTTTCCAATTTATTCCAAACAACTCACAGAATCTCTTAGCAATGCTCTCATTTCAAAGAGGAGAAAGACAAGGTTTAGAGAGTCAAGTATTTTTCCAAAGTTATACAAAGCTGTGAAGAAAGGACTGGGGTCTGTCTATACACTGAATTCCCAGCTACTAAGCTATTTTTGACATCTCTATTTAATTTTTTCATATTGAGGCATATTCTGCTTAATTAAGGTCTTGCTATACCAGATGTTAGATAAAATGTTTTACTCCGTCACCTACTAGCCCAGTTTGTAAAATTATCATTTTGTAACATGAAAATGGATATAATGTATTATCTTTACTGTCAACACTTGCTATGTTAAAAATACAAAAAAACTTTTGTTTTAGTATCATAATGTCTCCATATCACCACCACTTTCAATGTTTCTTTAAAATATGCCTGGAAAACTTACTGGGTGTGCTTGTATGAGCCAAATGTCTCATTTAGAACTTTGCCTAGAATCTCACTTGCTGTTACTGGTTTTCTGACAGCTAAGGAGACTTTGCTTCTTTCTTCTAATTACTGTAATTAAAAGTGCAGTATGTATTGAATCATTCTGGGTAACTTAAGAACAAAATTTGTTTTTAAATAAGCCTCACTGGATGCTGTTGTTGTAAAGGCTATGTTGGTGATCAAAGGCTTGCCCACTAGAGGGCAGTAAAAACTTAAAAAATTGAACTGGATCTTTTCTGATTTTATTTTCAATGGGTACAGGTATTGTTAAGATTTTTTTGTTTGTTTTTAATGACTTGACCTCTTTTTTATCCTAGGCAAAGTTGGATATTGCATTTGGAACACACCACACGTAAGCAATTTTTATGAAATGGGGGAGGATATGAGTTTAAAAGATGGAAATTACTTCAGAAATTACTCTTAAAGGGGATGCACATGTGACGATTTTGTTGCGGGGAAAGCTGTCAGGAAGTGGAGTTTTCCTGACAGTCCTGAGACCCGATACCAGGGGGGCAGCTCTGGACGTGAAGTCTGAGTCTGTGATGTGGTTTCCACCCTCTGCCCCCGGGGGTGGAGGCGCAGACAGGTTGTAGTCACCAGTGACTGTAGAACCATGGCCGTCACATGCCTGAAGATTCCCCTGGTTTAAAGAAAGCCCTATGAATTTTGTAAGATTCTCGGTTGCAGCAAATAGATTATTGTTAGGTCAGCCCTGTGCTGTGAATAAAAGAAAAACTATTTTGCAAGAAGTTGTCACCCTGAGAGACTGGTGCCTGTCCTGCTTTAAGACATCTCAGAAAATTCTCTTAGGGTGGTGTCTGAGACATTGCAAGCCATAGGCGGGAGAAACTTTTCTCTTCCTACATGACATACCAGCTTGACTCCCGTTTTAGTTGTGTCTTAAAACTTTTATGGAGCTCTTTTACATAATTGGTTCTCTAGCTGAGAAAAGAATAAGACATGGTTGCCTTCACTTCATTGTTTTTGTAAATCAAATTTATCTAGAAATATGTCACGCTCTTCTGAGTGTGACAGCCTCGTCTTGCTTCTGGACCAGCAGTGGAAACAGGTCGCCTGCTGCTTCAGGCTTGTCCCTTTGGGCACCTGTTCCTCCTGTTCCTAAGGCAACAAGGAAGCTTGTAGGTGGAAGTGTTTGGCCCGAGTCTTGCACTGACCACTGTTTTCCTGATATTATGCCAAAAATGAGGGCATGTGTTCATCATTTGCTTTGTAAGCTTAAAGCTATATTTTGCCAGCCTGTTTTCAGAAAGGAACCCGAGCAGAAAGCCTTGAGCCACTTTGTGAAAGGATGCCTATCTACCCCATGTCATCTGGTTTTAGATGCTCTTATGTAAACGTTGCCGCATTTACTGACCGTGCCTAAGTGGTAGCTTTAGTGTAATGGAGGGGTTGAGGGTTGTTGAGAGTGATCTCAAGCACCTGTGTCCCTGGGGAATCAATTGTTCTTTACACAGCGTAGAGCTCACAGGAGGCTAATTTCAGCCCAGGATACAAACAGCACTGAATAGACTGGACAGGCGTCTTGGGCTCCTGCAGCTTCTCCACAGGAGAGGCTGGTGGGCAGCAGCAGTCAGCTGTTCTGGGTCGACATCCTGCCCGGAAAGGGCCCTGTCAGTCTTGTGGATCCTGGTTTGCTAGGCCTGCAGTGTTGGGTTCCTGTGCTGCACGCACCTTCCAAGCCGGCAGTCAGCTTTTCTCCGGCACATTGACGCTACACACTTAACTGTGTTGGCAAGTAATCATGGGAGAGCCTGGGGCCCGGAGGGACTGAGTGCTGGGCTGGCCTGGGTCTGCCACAGTAACACATGAGGCAGTGGGGCTGTCCTTTTCTTTTTTTTTCCAAAAAATTGCTTGGTCCTTTGTCTTCATTTTATAGATTAGAGCCCCCAAGTCAATAGGCAGTTCTCCTGCAGTCAGTGTTGGAGGCAGGACTAGAACTGTTTACTTTTGCTTAGGTTCTTTTGCTTTGTTTTTTTAAAGTTTTTATTTTATCTTTTTTCAGTTTTTAAATTTTTCTTATTTTTGGCCATGTGGCATGTAGGATGTGTCCCCTGTAGTGGAAGTGCAGTCTTAACCACTGGGCCGCCAGGGGGTTCCCTTAACTCACTTTCGTTGCTTCCTCACGGGCAAAATTAAGTCTGTTTCCTTTGGCCCAACCCCCCGGCCACACACACACACACACACACACACACACACTTCACAAGTTCCATCCCGCCAGTCACACCACCACACACACACCCCCCCCATCCCAGCGACACACACTTTGAAAGTCCATTCCAACACAGGCATTTTGCAGGTTAAACCCAGGAGGGTTCCGCATTCAGAGTGGCAGGTGCCTGGGGAAGTAATGGTGGTAGAACCATCCCTCACCCTGTAGTGTGAGTAGTTTACATCTTGTTAAAATGCCAGTATCTTGTAGGAGATTGAGCTCATGTCTTGAAATTACTTCCAGTTGCTCATTTTAAAATGTGTTAAAAATTATTCATTAAATCTATTGTGCCCTTGAAGCCCAGCTCGAGGGGATATAAAGCATTTTGAGACGGACTGACTTTTGTCCTTGCAGCTTTCAGTCTTTGGGTGAGAGAGGCAGACAAACATGAACTGCCAATGGCAGGAGGCCTCATCTCCTAGTAAGGTGTGGGCCCCCCCAGCAGAGTGGGGCTGCCACGGTGACTTCCCGGGGTCTCCGGGGTCACACGGTCTTCCCTGTGACCTGTGTGTCTTGGAAGATCTGGGAGTAGCCAGACACAGCCGCGCCCTCCGGGAGCTCACGGTCCTCCTGGCGACAGTGGACGTGCTCCATCCGTGCTTCCCAGATGCCCTGCCGTCCTGGGACATGTCTCCTGCTGCTTTAGAATGCCGAGGCTTTCTGCTGGCCCCTAGAGCTGGGAGCAAAGGCCCCTCCCAGGGCCCGAGAATCCATAGAGGGGAGAAACATCAGATACGGCTGGTAGCTGGGTGCCGGGCTACCCTCTGGGCTGTAGGAAGCCTTCCTCCTTCCCCTCAGGATGCGGTCCCCTTGCTCATCTGGGCTGCCCCGACCTAGCCTCGCCTGCCCCTGCCCCAGAAACATGAAGTAGCTGCAGCCCACCCCCCACTGGGGAAGCTGTGCCCAAGGATTGCTGCGTGCAAGACGTGATCCCAGTAAGCGCTGCTTCTGGTTCACATGGGACCCTGGATGGTGCTCATGACCTCTCCCAGCCACGGAGTCTGCACTTGCATTATAAAATGGGAATGATAGTGCCTCCTCTGGATTAGGTTGGGTTTAGCATGCTAGCATTAGATGCCTGGCACATAAATTGCTGTTGTTCAATCACTAAGTTGTGTCCGACTGTAACCCCATGGACTGCAGCATGCCAGGCTCCTCTGTCCTCCACTATCTCCTGGAATTTGCTCAGATTCATGTTTGTTGAGTTGGTGACGCTATCCAACCTTCTCATCCTCTGTCATCCCTTTCTCCTCTCGCTTTCAGTCTTTCCCAGCATCATGGTCTTTTCCAGTGAGTCAGTTCTTCACACCAGGTGACCAAAGTATTGGAGCTTCGGCTTCAGCATCAGTCCTTCCAATGAATATTCCGGACTGATTTCTTTTAGGATTGACTGGTTGGATCTCCTTGCAATCCAAGCGACTCTCAGGAGTCTCCTCCAACACCACAGTTCAGAGGCATCAATTCTGTGGCGCTCAGCTTTCCTCATGGTCCAACTCTCACATACATACATGACCACTGGAAAAACCATAGCTTTGACTATATGAGCCCTTGTTGGCAAGTCACGTCTCTGCTTTTTAATATGCTGTCTGGGTTTGTCATAGTTTTCCTTCCAAGGAGCAAGCATCTTTTAATAAATGCTCCACAGATATTAGCTTGCTTTACCCTGTGAGGGAACAGCTTCAAACATGAGAAACGTCGCTTTTGCTCCCTACACAATCTACTAGATAACATGCAGGTCAGCACTCCTCCAGGGAGACCTCATTTTGTGTGTTTTTATCCATTTTTAGCTCTGACCTTCTTGGGACACGCCACTTGGTCTATGAAAAGAATAACATGGCTCCCCTTAGAGCAGTTCTTGGTGCTGTTTAATAGGATTCACTGACATTGGTGTGTGATTTTCCCTGTAAGTGATGCTTTGACTAATGGAAATATTTGTAAAACTTACATCATTAATTCATAACTGGCTTATTGTTAATTACAACTAGCTACTAATTTGGCAACAGTGTATGTAAATATGTAGAGGCTTCAGGAAGCACATCTCATAAGTGGGAAGAAGATTGGCTCAACAGCTGTCTTTCTCCAGCTTTGCATTAATTTACTGTTTGCCAGCTTAAATTTTTTTTTTTTTGGCAAGAGCTAAATCTTATTCGCTGTTTTTATATGCTTTTGTACGTTTTTTAATGCTAACTCCATTCTATCTAAATAGTATTCAGGTTGTTGTTTTTCGAGTGGTTCATTTTTTTTCCCCAGGTGTAAACTGACTTCCATCAGTAAACATTAGTAGCATTTTGGCCTCAGTGGAAATAAAGCAGAGTTACTGCCTTGAATAAATCTCTAGCTGGGTGTAGGGGAGAGAATTTAGGTTCCTGAAATAATCAGAAAACCATCAAGAGGCCAAGAATCATCTCGTAGCAGATGACAAAGTAAAGCAGGTCATTGAAGCATAGAGGGAACGCACACATAGAACAGTTTAAGTTAAGCAAAATGCGCATCGCGTGTCATTATCACAGCAGCCCTGTGAGGTGAGCAGAGGATTGGTCCTTCACGTTACAAGTGAGAAACTCAGGCTTAGCAGCACAGAGCGACCCGGGGTGTTCAGTGCTTCTGTGGCGTCATATGGTTTCCAAGTGATAAGCAGAGGTGCTTAGGCCTTCCAGCCTCAGATGGGAACCTCTTATCTGTGTGCTGTTCCCCCGCCCCTCCCTGGAGTTCAACTGAGAGAAATAGTCTGATGACTGGGGAAGCCCCATCTGAAAGAAAGGAATCTCGAGAGCTGATTTGAGTCAAGGGAGAAGAAAAGGCAAGACTCACCTCCAGCCCAGGTTCAGGCTTATGACAAGTCTGGCGTCTATGGAGTATGAAGAAAAATCATTGGTTACTGTTCTGACTCCCCTCTGCTGTAGCAGGGGCCCCAATAAAGCCTTGCCTGAAGAAAAAAAGATCAGTCACTTGAAAATGAAGCATCTTTCAAACTTAAACTGCATCCCACAGTAGGAAGTGCATTTGTCATTTCAGTCTACTGCACACATCCACACCGATAAGTGCTGAAACCAGTTTCATGAACCTGCACTTACCTATATGCAATATACTCTTGAGTTTCTAATTTATTCTGTTGCAGCCTTTTGTGTGGTTTTGTTTTAACGCTAGGTAGCCATGGTGTAGCACAAGGTTGTGACCAGACCCTGAAAACACCGAGCGAGCAGGTTGCTTTTGTCCCTCATAGTGACGGGTGATGCAGAGCAGATGGTGAGGGCCCAGGACTGGCCATGTGGATGGGGTGGAGCAGAAGTTCACTTCAGTCATCCGGCACTCCGAGCATTTTGGACGGTGGCTTTCTACCTGTCACTTGAGCAGACTTTGATAATGTATAGAAGAAATGGAGACTATAAATTTTGAAGTTTGGGTGATGTAAGAGTTTTTACCTATTGCGTTTGCACTGGAAAGGTGTTTGAGAGTACTGCTAACGCTGCTTGTTCCTCTCTCTGCTCTTAAAGGAAAATGATGCTGCTGCTGTATGAGGAAGGCCTCCGGGTTGTCATACACACCTCCAACCTCATCCGCGAGGACTGGCACCAGAAGACGCAGGGGTCTGTAGGGCTCTGTCCGTTTCATGCTGGGAAACATCCAAGATGAGATGTTCACTGTAGTCTTTTTCTCCAGTTTTTTTCATTGTGGGAGGAAAAAACCAGAATTATGGCATAGAAAAGAGATGCATGCAAAAAAGTGATACTGCCTCCCTTGTGGTAATTGATGTTAACCATTTAGCCCATGATCATTCACACCTATGTATTTATACCGCTAAATGTTGTTCAGTCGCTAAGTAATGTCCGACTCTTTGTGATTCCATGGACTGCAGCACACCAGGCCTCCCTGTCCTTCACTGTCTTCCTGAGTTTGCTTAAACTCATGTCCATTGAGTTGGTGATGCCATCCAACGATCTCATCCTCTGTCGTCCCCTTCTCCTACCTTCAATCCTTTCCAACATCAGGATCTTTTATAGTGAGTTGGCTCTTTGCATCAGGTGGCCAAAGTATTGGAACTTCAGCTCCAGCATAAGTCCTTCCACTAACATTCAGGGTTGATTTCGTTTAGGAGTGACTGGTTGGATCTTCTTGCAGTCCAAGGGGCTCTCAGGAGTCTTCTCCAACACTCCAGTTCAAAAGCATCTGTTCTTCGGCACTTATCTTTCTTTATGGTCCAACTCTCACATCCATCCATGACTGCTAGAAACCCATAGCTTTGACTGTATGGACCTTTGTTGGCAAAGTGACGCCTCTGCTTTTTAATATGCCGTCCGGGTTGGTCACAGCTTTTCTCCGAAGAGTGTCTTTTAATTTCATGTCTGCAGTCACTGGTCACAGTGATTTTGGAGCCCAAGAAAATTAAGTCTGTCCCTACTGCCATTTTTTCCTGTAAACATACCAGTACATAAAATTTATATGCTGAGTTTTTTTTTACTATTTTTTACAGAAATGGCATCATAACTATATTCTCCAGCCAAGTAGGTCTAAGGATCTGAGGCAGGAAAGAGGATAAAAGATGGAAGGGCCAAACGTATTATTTTTCCAATAAGATCCTCCTGACAACTTTCTTGGTCCTCACTCACCCTTACACCCACCTGTACCTGAGCCTGCCAGCTCCCAACAGGCATCAAAGGAAAACTCAGGGGTTGATTGTATGCTAAAAATATCTCTTTATGGAGAAGGAAATGGCAACCTGCTCCAGTAGTCTTGCCTGGAAAATCCATGGACAGAGGACCCTGGCGGGCTGCAGTCCATAGGGTCACATGACTGAGCACGCATGCATGAAGGTAGAGGGAGATGGGTTGGTAACAATAAACTGGTAGCACTAAAAAATACATATATCCCTTTACCTCCAGTCAGTTTAGTTTCCCATAAAACATTCTAAATTGCTGTCTTTTCAGAGCCTGTAATACGGTCGTAGATCTCCGAAAGAATTGAACGCAAAGGTTTTTCATGCTTTTTTTAAAACTACTAACCAACCCTTTGTTGTTGGTGCATATTTACTAGATCTAGTTTTTGATCTCTTAGGGAAGTTAGGGTTTATCCCTAGACATTTTAGGGACTTGTTCGAGTCACATTTCACCCTTCATTCTCCTTCCCAGGAAGCCCTCTTTACAGCCAGCCTTGGGCTCCCTTTCCTTCACTGAAGCCATTCTGCATGTCTCTGCCTGCCTGTGTTAGAAGAATCACCCTTTCGGGGTTTACGCATTTCCCCCTGCATTCTGCTCTGTGTTCCCTTGCCCGTATCATCACCCAGCCTGGGGAGAGCCCTGACCCCGGGCTCTCACTGAGCCCACGTTGCACCGAGTTGAGCTGAGACAGGGAGTCTCCCAGCCCCCATCCTCCTGACCCGCTGAGCCTGGGTGGGCTGCCCAGCCCTCAAGTCGCCTCTTCTATCACACAGCCCTTATGAATGTGAAAGGCAGTTTCTCCCCAAGCCAGACATCTTGTCTCTCTTCACTGTCCTTCCCCACCAGAGCGGGTTGTTTGTGCCCCTGTCCCCCTGCCTGGTAGTTTTCCGACAGACACGTTCTCGTGTCCCGTTCAAGATACACTTCCAAACCGCCCTGTTCTGACGGGGGCGGGGATGGACGGTCCCTAAGAGCCTTGGCTGCTGGGCTCCTGACCCACTGAGTTTCTGGTTGACAAGGTCTTTTGCTGCCCCTCAAGCTTCTAAGCTGCCAGTTGAGTTTTGGGACCCATGACTCATCTGTAGCCCCATCTAAAAAGGAAATGAAATTGACATGCTTGTCCTTAGAGGAACAGTAACAAAAGGTTTGTCCAGTGGACTCCTGAGTCTCCTAGCTCAAAGAGTCCCACCCACGGGTTTCTGGCTCCTTCTGGAGCTGGGTGTAGAGGCAGCCCTGCTTCCTTAGGCCTCTTTGACTTGGCTGATGTGGGGAAGGGATTAAAGATAAAGGGTTTACGTGTTCATTTTTTCCTTTGTTTAAAAACACTTAATTTTTAAAAAATGTATTGACTAGGTGTAACTTCACACGGTTCAGAACTCAAAGTACAAGTGTCTAAAACCTCCCTCCCACTTCCCGCTGCTGGCCCCCGGGAAAGGGGTGCTGTCAGCCTAGATCCTACTCTGTCCGGCAGTTTACAGTTGCCTGTGGCGAGTGGAATCTCGTCTCACAGTCTGCCTGTCATGGCCCTGTGGATCCTCTCTCCTGAAGGCCTCCACCCGTCCTTTCCACCAGCTTCTTGGTCCACCTGTTCACGCCTCAGTTAGAATCATCTGGCCCGGGGCACTTTCTCTTCTCATTCTGTCAAAGGGTAAAGACATCTCACATCTCGATATCCTGGTTTGGAAAGTCGTCGTCTGTCATGCTCCTCCTCTAGAACCATTCTTGTGAGTGACCCTCTGACCCAGGAGGAGCCCCCCTCGTCCTGCAGCTCTGAGCTGCTGTGGGAAGGAGAGACTGCCCCCATCCATCCTGCCCAGCAGTCATGGTACACGCAGTTGCCAAGCGGGGCACAGAGGGGTCACCGAGCTGGCCCAGAGTGACACGGCCAGGTAGCAGCAGATCCCGGTACAGAACCTGGACTCCTGGTCTCACACGTTACCCACTGTGCAAAGTGTTGCCTTTAAAGAAAATGCGCACCGTCAGAGCTGTGAGTCAGGTTTTATTTGGGGCAGAATGAGGACTATAGTCCAGGAGATGGCATTTCAGGTCGCTCTTCAGAAGCTGCTCCGGAGAGGCAAGGGGGAAAGTCAGTATATATGTGATTTTGGTGAATATGTGCATGCCATCAAGCACATTTTTAGCAGAAGGTTTATGCTAGTTTCATGAAGGTTACTGCTACTCATGAGAAGCAGTTGTCACCGTGAAGGATTTTAGGACTTTCCTGGGTTCAAGGAGATACAAGAATTAGGCTCTTAAATCGGCTCCTGAAAATATCTAACTCTCTGAAGGCCTGTTCTGCCAGTTTTTCCCCCAAGTACAGAGTGCCTCATTTCTGCTCTCCACCCTGACCTTCTTTCAGGGGGTGTTGAAAGGCAGCCAGTGCAGCAGCACATGATTTAACGCTTGTAGACGTAGAGGGCGAGTGCCAGCCTGCGGTTGACAGAGGGGTCTCCTTGAGGTGGGGCAGGAAGGTGTGACAGGCCAGCCTGCTGGGAACAAGTTCAGAGCTCAGGAGACGCCGCCCCCAGCATCCTCGAGGTTCTGACGGCCTGCCTCTCGGTCTCCTTTGAGGGCTGCCAGCGAGAGAGGAACGGGCAGTTTCTGTTGTGGCTTCCTGGGTAAGACGGAGGAGGTGGCGGGAGGAACCACAGTAGGGGAGGCCGGCAGACGCAGGTCCTGGCTGCTGAGGCTGCTTTCTGTTGGGCCCTGTTCATTAGCTCGTAGGCATCTTTGTGAGGTAGGACTGCTCACTCACCCGGTTTTGCAGCTGGAGGAGGTGCACAAGAGCTTTGAAGCCATAGTTCTCTGTAATCCTCAGGGGATCAGTTCACAGAAGGACTGGGTTTAGATGTGGCCACTTGCCATTCGTGGGTGTGACATAGAGATTTTGACAAAGTACACTGACACAAAATTGATGAAATTAGAGATGTCATCAAAGTTTTTTTTACCAATTTATTTGAAAGCCGGAGGTTAGTGTTAATGCAATATGACCAAATGTAAACTATACCTCATTCCAGACACCAGCTATGGGAGATATATATATATATATATATATATATGAAAATGAGTTTGTTTATTGAAAACATATTTGCACATACATGTTTTCTTAATATAGATAACTTTTATTTTCCCCTCTGCTAAAGAGCTGCATCGACACACGTCTGGGCAGAGGCTTGCTGGGGGCGCCACTGTGTAGAGCTGCCGTAGCGACTGGGGTAGCGCTGTTGCCATCAAGGCTTTCGAAGCGGTTAGGGACTCACCTGGCGGCCCGTGACTGTGGCCCCCACCCCAGCGCGGGCCCGGCTTCGACTCCTGGCCAGGGAACCGGGTCCCACTTGCTGCAACCGGGTTCGCATGCCACAACTAAAAATCGCGTATGTTGCAACTAAGCCCAGCGCAGCCAAATAAATGTTTTTAAAAGCAGTGTAGAGCTGAGAAGGTAAGCGGGGGACGAGTGAGCAGGGTGGGAGAGTGAGTCGGGGAGAAGGAGGGATCCAGTTGGGAGAAGCAGGCAGAGGCCAGGCCTTCCTGGGTCTAAAATTCACTGTGAGCTTTTCAAAAATAATTCTGGGCATGATGAGAACCATTGGAGTGGTACAGTCAGATTTGTTCTCTATTTCATAAGGATGACCTTGGGCATCCCACATGGTGCTAGTGGTAAAGATGTAGGACACCTAAGAGATGCAGGTTCGATCCCTGGTTTGGGAGAATCCCTGAGGAAGGGCATGCAAACCCACTGCAGCATTCTTGCCTGGAGAACCCCATGGACAGAGGAGTCTGGCGAGCTACAGTCCACAGGGTCACAGAGTGGGAAATGACTAAAGCAACTTGGCACTCACACACACAAGGATGGCCTTACTAGCAGGTGGAGAGAGGTAGTGAGAATTCCCCTCCTCAAGGTGAGTGCCTGATTACAGAGAGAGCACGGTGATCAGCTCTGCTTCTGACTGTTCAAGGTGGTTTTCTTTTTCCATTCCAGAATATGGTTGAGCCCCTTGTACCCACGAATCGTCCACGGGACCCATAGATCCGGAGAATCAGCCACACACTTCAAAGCTGACCTCATCAGCTACCTGGCAGCTTATAACGCCGCCCCTCTCAAGGAGTGGATAGACACCATCCAGGAGCACGACCTCTCAGAAACAAAGTAGGATGAACATGGCCTCTTAGCAACTCGGGGGGCTTACCTTGAGAACCGCATGAGGTCTGCTGTGTGGGGGCCTAGCGGATGGTGGAGGGACACTGGGCTGTCCCTCAGGAAGTGCTGAGAGCAGGGCCCGTCCCTGTCGGCACCTGCTGATCCTCAGGCACTGGAGCAGAGGCTCGGGGCCCTCCCCACTCACCTGAGTCCCCACCGGAGTGCCTGCTCGGCAAGCCTCTGTTGCAGGCTTCTTTGACTTCCACCCCATAGGGGTCCCATGGGGTGCTTGAAAATGATTTTAAGTGTCAGTTAACTCGGAGGAGGAGGCATCTCAAGAAAGCGGGCTGGCTCTTGGAATATTTCATGCTTAGTGTTTGTGTATATTTTGAAGTCCACACATCACTATGTTCTTTAACTTGTATTTTGTATCGTTTCAGTGTTTACCTTATTGCCTCAACCCCAGGACGCTTTCAAGGAAATCAGAAAGATAATTGGGGACATTTCAGGCTTAGGAAGGTAATAAAATTTTTACTATTTAAAAAAATTTTATTGTATGTTCACTCCTATTTCTTTACAATTGTTATATTTTGAAAGCAGCTTTGTAATATCTCTAGGACAACTCTGGGCAAGTATTAGGCACTTTAAATTGGTTATCTAATTATAAGTGAAAGTGAAGTTGCTCAGTCGTGTCCGACTCTTTGCGACCCCATGGACTGTAGCCCACCAGGCTCCTCTGTCCATGGGATTCTCCAGGCAAGAATACTGGAGTGGGTTGCCATTTCCTTCTCCAGGGAATCTTCCCGACCCAGGGATCGAACCCAGGTCTCCTGCATTGCAGGCAGGCTCACAACTCTGAGCCACAGGGAATTATAGTTTGCATTAATTACTTGCATTTTAACATTTTGCCTCTTTTATAGGTGCAGAGTTAACAGATCTAAATGGCAAAAGCATATGGACAATTTTTAGTTTTTTCATTTCTTGTAATAAAGATAATTAGAGACTTTGTATTTATACAAGTAGTTTTTGCTCAGCATATGAAGGATTTTTTTTTTAATGTCAAGGATTTTTCACACAGATTCAACAAAGAACAGAAAATAGTGTTGAACAAAGACCACAACTGAGCTATGATGTGTTTTGTTTGCTAAACCAATGCCCTAGGAATTGTAATTATGAGAATGACATTTGCTGCTGGTATGAAAATAAGCCAAGAAAGATCTTCAACAAAATAAAACAAGCAGCAGGTTAAAGCTTCAGGTTTCCTCTACCTCCCTCTCGAGTCAGTTTACCTTAGTAAATTCCCAACACGATTTCTTAAAAGCCCCTCTTTTTCCATAGATTATTGATGCTGTGTGAAAATTCCCCTTGGCTGATGACAATTTTTAACTTCCTATTTTTAAGTGAGAGCACAGCTGAAAGCAGGCAGGGTCTCAGCACCACCACCTTTCTATCCTGAGCTCGGGAGCAGGGGAGCCCCACAGGCTGGGTAGTGAACGGCGCTCAGTCGTGTCCGACTCTTTGCGACCCCACGGACTGTACCGTCCATGGGATTCTCCAGGCCAGAATGCTGGCGTGAGGAGCCTTTCCCTTCTCCAGGGGATCGTCCCAAACCAGGGATCCAGCCCAGGTCTCCTGCACTGCAAGCAGGTCCTTCACCAGCTGAGCCACCAGGGGAGCCCAGGAGTACTGGGCTAGGTAGCCTGTCCCTTCCCCAGCAGATCGTGCCAACCCAGGAATCAAACCTGGGTCTCCCGCACTGCTGGTGGATTCTTCACCAGCTGAGCCACCAGGGGAGCCCACAGTTTGGATAAGTGCACGGCTTTGTGGGTTGATACCCACAGCGGGGGCCACATCCTGCCCCGGTTACAAGCCGTGTGACTGTGACTTGCTCCCACCCTCTTGACATCTGTCAGATGGGCATAATGGCAGTATTTCCCTTACAGAATCATGTAGAGATTGAATGAGGAAAGGAGGGCACGGCGCGTGTTGATTGTTCAGGAAGCACTTGTGGGGTTTAGCTTGTGGACTGGTGGTTCAGAAAGGCTGGGTGATCACACACAATTGTGCAGGATCCCTGTCTTGCTGAAAGCTGAGTAGCCTCTTATCCAAGTTTGCGACCCCTTTGCACAGTCAGGAGCTTGTGTTGCATCACAGCTGTCTTCCAGTAAAGACAGGGCATGATCAGAAGTCTGCCCCGCTCCTGGGGAAGAAAAGCCCAGGACTTGGGCCACAGTCCTGTGGCTGATCAAGGACTGAGCCCAGAATAGTAGCCGAGTCTTGTGATTGTCAGCTCAGTCCTGCTTCCTACCCTATGCTGCTCCCACAGTGGAAGTTGAGAACTGTTTGGGGCCCTTTGGGGAAGTGTGTTTAGAAGTATTAATGCCTGCTCAGTGGTAAGGAGAATAACACATATACCCTGAACAATGCATCTGTCACATTACGAGCTCCACTGGAACAGGAACTGTGGCTATTTTTATTGCTGTCTCCAGCTAAAGAGAGAAAATTCTCAAGTGTTTTCTGACTTGTTTCTGCAGCTTTGCATAAATATCAAACAAAGCAGGAAATGCAGGTCAGTCTTCCCCAGGGTTTAAGGTGGTATGTATCCATATGTAAATATATTCTCTTTCATTTATAGAGCATCACAGCAGCCCAGAGCCCAAGCCCTTTTCAAATGATAGGAGTCAAAATATATAATAGTTTGACCTTCTAGGATTTATTTCAGTGTATTAAACCTTTGGAATTTCAAGGCAGAAGGCTAATCTCATATGGCAGGTTGCTAGTTTGTCTGACATTGCTACTAAAATGGGTCATTTTTCTTTTTAATCTGTTTAAGTACAAATCAAAGAACTTTGGAAGAGAAATACTTTTGTCCTCTTACTCCACTAAAATAAAATATTTTCAGTATTTAAAAATATTCCCCAAAGGATTAACATATATACACTACTATATATAAAATAGACAACTAATAAGGAACCTACTATGCAGCACAGGTCACTCGACTCAGTGCCCTGTAACGACCTCTATGGGGAAAAATCTAAAACAGTGGATCTATGTACAACTGACTCACTCTGCTGCACACCTGAGCCCAACACAACGTTGTGTATCAACTACACACCAGTAAAGTTTTAAAAAAAAAAGTAAAATTTTCCCAAAGAAGAAAAGCTGTATGTGGGTATGAAACTGAGCATTAACCATTTTCAACATTTCCTTGTGAAGTAGGCAATCCGAGGACAGAAAACCGTGTTCTGAGCGGTCACGGCTTTTCTCTCCACACGATCAGACTGACTCCAGCGTTCATTTTTGTTCTCTCACAGCTTCTAAAAGAGCACGCCTCACCCATACCTAAAGCAGAGTCTTGGCCAGTCATAGGCCAGTTCTCCAGCATTGGCTCCATGGGGGCAGACGAATCAAAATGGTTGTGTTCTGAGTTTAAAGAGAGCTTGGTGACCCTGGGCAGGGAGAGCAGGACCCTCGGAAGTGCTGTTCCTCTCCATCTGGTGAGTGCCCCTCCTCCCCGAGGTCACTGTTCTTACCCTCTGGTCCAGGAGAAGAGTCAGGTCTGTCCTCCTTGCCACAGAAAGGGGTTTCATTCCCTGGTTCGGAGATGGAAGACGGTGAACGCGGTGCAGTAGCACTGCCATTTGTAACCGAGTCTCCCTGATAGTCTGGTGCTGGGAGCTTGCTGGTCAGGCTCTGTCTCAGCCACAGATGCGCCTGCAGATTCTCCATTCCTTCCTTTAGGTTGTCGAGCCAAGGGAAAAAATTTTTTGATAAAGCATTGCCGGCAGAATTAGAGGCATTATTAATTATTTAGAGACATTTGAAGTAAGAATTAATTTTACATTCGGTTCAGGTTTCTTTTGGTGTTTCAGAGAAAAAATACTTATTGAAATGTAAGTTTCTTTAATTGACTATAAATGCTTTCTATAGTTTAATTACTAGAAGTTCAATAGTTTTCAATAAGATGGGAACTTTTTAAAATTTAAAGCACATTTTCTAAGTCTTGAAGTATTATTTCTAATTGAGGTTTTCATCTGCGTAAAAAGTAAACTTCTTTCCTTTTAACACGCATGGATAGTTTCTTCAACATGGTGCACTCTAAGTGTTGTTGTTTTTATTTTTAGATCTATCCTTCAGTGGAAAATGTGCGGACCAGCTTAGAAGGATATCCAGGTAATTGTTGAGAAGACTGTCCCGATTGTGTTTTTGTGTGAACATTTCTTAAATACCCTGGTAAACTTTTTAAGACAAGTAATAAGAATGCCTTCCCCCTTAAGGTCAGAAAGGTATTGAGAAATTTGGAGATTATTCTCTCTTAACTGGATGAGGATCTTTAAGGTAGGTAATATTGAGTGGTGCTGGGTTCCAAAGATGATGCCACACAGTCGAGCAGTTTGAGTGCTGTTTAATCTTTGCAGTAGCCCTGAGTGTTTGATACTTTTGCCAAAAGGATTGTCCTCCCCCCCCGCCACCAGGGGCTGTCCAGATGAGACGTCCAGATGAGGCCAGCTTCTGCCACAGCTCCGTGCTACGCCTTTTTCCAACACCTCCCTCTCCCCCAGCGCTCCCCCCGGCCTAAAGTACTGTGTGTGTGGTTCTTCCAGATTTGAATCCCAGACACAGATCGTATTGAGGGTCCGGAACTGAGGCTTAACACTGAGATGCAATCTTTGATATGATATAATTTAGTTGATACAGCTAGTCTCTCAAGGGCTTCATCTGTAAACCCCAGGACTATTTTGTAGACATCTTTCAGTCTTGTCCTCTAGTTCCCTTATGTCAGTGCTGGGCAATTAACTTGTTTGGAATTCAACAACCCCCAGGTAATGTATTCAGGAGGTATTAACCAAAATCCCAAACAGGGTATACGTGTGTGCTAAGTCGCTTCAGTCATGTCCTGACTCTTCTGTGACCCCACAAACTGTGGCCTACCAGGCTCCTCTGTCCATGGGATTCTCCAGGCAAGAATACTAGAGTGGGTAGCCATTCCCTTCTCCAGGGGATCTTCCCAACCCAGGGATTGAACCCGAGTCTCTTGTGGCCCCTAAGTTGCAGGCGGATTCTTTACTGCTGAGCCACCAGGGAAGACCATAGCAGTGTGAAAGTCGCTCAGTCGTGTCCGACTCTTTGCGGCTCCAGGGACTGTAGCCCACCAGGCTCCTCTGCCCATGGGATTCTCCAGGCAAGAGTACTGGCTTCTAATTGTGTCTCCACTTGGAACTATATCTTTATTCTCTCTCTAGGACTATGGCTTTTAGGATTCATTTTTAAGAACGAAATGGTTTACTGAACATTTTATTTTAGTGATCCTTGGTTATTGCATTTGTAAGAATCCATGTAGCTAGGACAGAGTCTCTTTGGAAATATCAATATAAAAGGTGAAGGAGGCAGGAGAACCAGGCTTTCATCCTAGTCTCCCCTCTCCCAAGTGTCCTGGTCTTGGGCCCAAAAAAAGACGCACGAGACCTCGTCTTACAGAATGTGTCTCTAGGTGTCCCACCTGCACAAGGACAGCAGGGTGGACTGGGACTCATTCTCTGGTCCCTCCTAGCATTTCAAATCTGCTATTATAGATGTTAAAGTGCCACCACCGTGCTCGCTTCGGCAGCACATATACTGAAAAGTGCCACCACCACTACCCACTCCGATGATTAAATATCTTTTTCTACTAAGATAGTCAACATTTACTATTTGATATGCACCCTGCGAAGGAAGTGTGTTCATTTCTGTCCAGTATTCTTGCCTGAAGAATCCCATGGACAGAGGAGCCTGGTGGGCTACAGTCCATGGGGTTGCAAGAGTCAGACATGACTATGTGACGAACACTATGCACTTCTAAGAAAGGAAACCCCATTGAGAGAACAAACCTTATGCAGGTATAGATGTTTCCTTTCAGAGAGCTGTTCCGTAAGATGAAATAAGTAGTGGCTTCTTTAACCACTATATATAGATTTTCTTAATGAGGGTCCTCAAAGTATAGTCAATAATTTTTATTTGTTTACTTTATTTCTCTTATTTTAAAAGCTGGGGGCTCTCTTCCCTATAGCATCCAGACGGCAGAGAAACAGAATTGGCTTCATTCCTATTTTCAGTAAGTAATCCAGTTAGAATGCTGCTGTTGCTTCTTTCAAGTAAAATAAGAATGTTGTCTGTCTGATTTTCTTAAAAAAAAAAAAGAGCTTTACATAATATGGCTGTATGTTTAATCTATATATGTTAGTGATAGAAATCCCTTTAAGTTCTAAACATTTCTTGGAATTGGTTTTTAATACTGGAATCTAATTTATCTCTGTGAGGATCCTGTTTAAATATTGGCATACAAAAAAAAAAAGATAAGTGAAAGAACATGTTGGGAAATTTAGAATTTACATAAGCAGTGTTTTAGTTCATATTTCCAAAATACGCCATCCTCTGTGTACACACTCATGCCCTGGGAAGCTGCAGGCTTTCTGAGGGGAGAATCCATACACCTTCTCCGGGACGCATGGCGGCCTCTGGCTTGCTGCACGGCAAACGCTCAGGCTGAAGGGGTGCTCTGCGTCCTCCGGTCGCCCACCCTGCATGTTCTCGGCCAGCTGCAGCCTCACCCTGGCTTCTTCTCACCCTGGCCTCACACAGGCACTTACTTAAGCTAGAACCAAAAACGAAGACAGATTGCCTTTCAATAGCTTTAGTCTGGGAATCCCCTGCCGCTCTAGTGGTTAGAACTCCTTGCTTTCACTGCCAAGGACCTGGGCTCAGTCCCTGGTCAGAGAACTAAGATCCTGCAAGCCACCCAGGGCATGGCCAAAAGGAAAAAAAAAGCTTTCATTGTAATTCAGTATGTCATCCCAGAGCCTTTCTTTAATGCTTTCTTTGGAAGTGTTTGGTTTTATTTTGCAAAGGACGTTTCTCCAAATCGAGCCCCTTTGAGTATTGTGTTCTTACAAGTGGATTTTGGTTTTTTGTTTTTAACTTCTATTCATTTATCGGCCGCCCTGAGTCTCCGTTGCCACAAGATGGCTTCCTCTCTTGTTGTGGAGGGGGGGCTACTCTACTCACGATGCGTGGGCTTCTCATGGTGGTGGCTCCTCTCATTGCGAAACCCAGGTCTGGGGCGCATCAGCGTCAGTAGCTGCAGCTTGAAGGCTCGCTGGTTGTGGCTCAAAGCTGCGATGGTTAGCACATGGTCTCAGTTGCCTCATGCATGTGGGGTCTCCCCACAGCGGGGATCAAACCTGTGTCCCCTGCGTTGGCAGGTGGATTGTTAACCACTGAACCACCGGGGAGGCCCCACAAGTGAATTTAATAATCTAATAATGACTCTGCCAAATCCCAGTTTTACTCTTTCAGACAGTCTGTTCCTTTGAGGGACCGTCCTCTTGTATTCAGAAGTGAGAATTGTTACCTTATGACATAGGTCTTTTTTTCCCCATGAAACCTTAGTCCCCAAAATGTTGGAAACTTAGAAACCAAACTTAGACATGTGAATATCTGCATTTGACTGGGGTATTTCTGAATTATCCCCCTGCTCTTGAGCATTCCATCTTGGTTTTCATACCGTTTGTATTTTGTTCATTCAGCAAGCATTTGGTGAGCCTTTCCTACTCTGTGCTCTGGGAACACAATTCCTGCTTTTAAAGAGACAAGGTGTGCTTATATGCAGTTAGAAGCACGATGGAGATAGTGTGTGTGCATATGTGTGTGTGTGTGTTCCTAACACAACACAAGGACCGTGTGCCTGCAGGTCACAATGCTGTTTGTAGGTGACATTGTCTAAATGCCTGCCTTCTAAAATGAACACATGTTATTCTGTTAGCTCAGCAGAATATAGGACGTTATCACAGGTCATATCCAGAGAACAATAGGATTTTGCTTTTCATACGATTTTCTCATATTAGGACTGTGATGACCCGTTTGTTCTGACTAGTGATCTGTGCCTTTTCCGTCACTAGCAAGTGGTCAGCTGACGCCTCAGGCCGCAGCAACGCCATGCCACATATTAAGACGTACATGAGAGCCTCTCCAGACTTCAGTCAGATCGCTTGGTTCCTTGTTACAAGGTATGAGTTCTTATATTCTTGATGGGAAAAGTTGTTAAAATGTATTTGCAACTCCTGTTAAAGAGTACTGAATGCACTTCCAAAAGTGATTTTGTGAATCGTCCTTCGTTTTCTCTTACATATGTATGGGTATTTGTGTCTTTGTTATTTGTTGTTTACTCGCTAAGTCGTGTCCAACTCTTTTCGGAAAGTGGTGGCTGCCTTTGGGGGTCCTTGTGAGAGTTAAATAACAGAGCCCAGTGCCTGGGACAGAAAGACCCAGGACACGCGAAGCTGTGGTCACACCTATTCAAGCTCCGCCCTCGAGGCCATGGAGGATGGCCAGGGGGACTGCTGACCTTCTCCGTGCTGTGTGCCTTTACAAAGAGAAACTTCTGCCTCTGACGAGGAGGGTGCCTGGGTATGAGGTACGCCCTGTGGATACCCTGGTGGAGAAGTCATCGTCTGGGGCAGGAAGTGCCGAGGAGAGCAGAGGTGTAGACGGCTTGTGGCCCCTCTGTGGGCTTGGAGCTCAAGCCCTAGCTGCTTCGGTGAGTGCAAGATTGTTCATTACTCCCCTGATTTCACTGTAAATAAAACACCTTTGCAAAAGCTAGGTTACTGCCAGTATTCCTAGAATGAAAGTGATAAGAAATCAAGTTACAGTGCTACCCAGTCTTCTACAAAGTTAACCAACAAGAACGTGAATTCAGTCATCACATGGATCCTTGAACATTCTCCAAAGGGACCTGGATATTCAAAGACCACGTCTCCGTGTCAGTCACCTGTGTGCTCAGTAACTATCTGATGTTAAATGTTAAACCAAGTTACTGAGTTGAGGGAGAAAGACCTGGCTGTTGATTCTGGTTCTGTCACATCCTGATGCTGCGTGTGGCCCTCGCTTCCTGTATACTCTGATGCCCAGTCAGTAGGGCTAGGTGAAACAATCCATCTGCTTCCGATTCTGAAACGCCAGCCTTGGAAGCAGTGCTGAGAGCAGGCCATCATACACCCCAAGGCCACTTTACTACAGAGCTCGTGATTTTGCTCTTTGTTGAGGCCCTAAAATGATGTGACATTTCCTTCAATCAGATCTGACAGATTCTCTACCAGTTTGGGTAATAGGACTCTACACATCGTATAACTTTTTTATAGTCATCAAGACTCTTATTGAAATCATGTCACTTTGCAGGAATGTTGAATCTGAAGGCTGTTCTTCCAACTTTGGTTAAAATCTTCTTAACTATTAACTTAGAATGCTTTTTCTCAAAATAGGGTCAAAACAAATATAGAGAAACATCAGTTATTGGGTAAAAGTGGTCTCGTCTAGCACCATGGGTTTTTTTTGCTGGGGAAACAGGTGCCCAGAGAAATTAAGCATTCAAAAGCTTGCAGCTCGCCAGAAGGCCAGGATGGAGGCTGTACCAGTGAAAGCACTGCCTTGACTTTGCGCATAACTGACTGTGGGAGATGCTTCAAAGACAAGTCCTGGGTTTGGGGTGTGGCTGGTAGGGAGGTGGGAGGTGGTCACCTTCTAGAGAAGTCAAGAAACAAAACTGGTTTTGGTGGGAGAATGGCCAGCTGGATTATATTGACCTATTGTGGTGGGACGGTTAAGTGGAATTGTCTGTTGGCGATGTTGGAGTCAGAAGGTCAGCGTATGCATAGTATGTTTTCGAGTTCTCTATAGAACTGATCGTTGACACCTTGAGCCCGTGTGTGGATGGATGGTCAGGGGAGAGTGGAGCCAAGGGCTAGTGCCCGGGAGGGGAGGAACAGACCGGGAGAAAACATCACACCTCCCGGGTTCCCAGGCCACAGGGGTGGGTTGGGCCCAAGCCTTCCCTCCTGAGTTACGGAACAACTGGTCACTATCCTCCACGAAATAGTCTTCCTTCTACTTAAAAAGCAATGTTCTGCATTGTATTTTTGATATCATAAAATTTAACCATTTCAACATGTATTTATTGAGCACCTACTATGTGGCAGGCACTTTTCCAGGTTCAGGGAGTACTGTGATAGCACATAATCCTTGACTTTATGGTACTGAGAATTGCACAAAAACCAAGTTTATTTGCATGTATCAAATGATGATAGTTGCTGTAGAGAAAAATTAAGTAGAAGAATAATTTAGGTGCACAGTCCTTTATTCAAAATCCTTGAGACAAGGTATAGTGAAGTATTTGGAGCTTAGTATGAATACCTGTAACATCTGTTTAATATCCCTAGTGTTGTTACAAGTAGCCTCACATTAGCTTAAGTCAGCTTTTGTCACCTAATGAGTTCACACAAATAAGCTTTGCCAGTAAGTATAGTGAGTTAGGTAATAGCTTAATTTCCAAGTTGGTTTCAGTTATTTTTAGACTTCCAAGCTAACATGTAGTGCTTCGTGCTAAGTCGCTTCAGTCGCATCTGACCCTTTATGACCCCAATGGACTGTAGCCCACCAGGCGCCTCTGTCCATGGGATTCTCTAGGCAAGAATCTTAGAGTGGGATGCCATTTCCTTCTCCAGGGGCTCTTCCCAACCCAGGTCTTGAACCCACATCTCTTACGTCTCCTGTGTTGGTGGGCGGGTTCTTTACCACTAGTGCCATGTGGGAACCCCAGTGTTTATACTGAGTTTCAGGCATTCTTCTAAAAAACAGAGTCTATGCACACACACCTTGGAGAAGGCAATGGCAACCCACTCCAGTACTCTTGCCTGGAAAATCCCATGGACGGAGGAGCCTGGTGGGCTGCAGTCTGTGGGGTCGCAAAGAGTTGGACACGACTGAGCAACTTCACTTTCACTTTTAACTTTCATGCATTGGAGAAGGAAATGGCAACCCACTCCAGTGTTCTTGCCTGGAGAATCCCAGGGACGGGGGAGCCAGGTGGGCTGCCATCTATGGGGTCGCACAGAGTCGGACACGATTGAAGCGACATAGCAGCAGCAGCAGCATATGCACACACACATACTCTTATAATCCTGATAACAGTCCTGCAGGTGAGCGTGTTCGTCCCCTCACTGGTGGGAGAACTGAAGCACAGAGAAGGTCAGCAAGCGTCCGGGAGCCCAGGCGTGTGCCGTCCCTGTGTCAGGGAGTCTGCCCCTTAAATAGGATGACCAGGGAAGTCCTGACTGACACGGTGACATTTAAGCAGAGACCTGAGAGAAGGGAGGGAGCCGTGTGGGTGGAGAGCTGGGAGAAGCGTTCCTGGAGAGAGGCACAACTGGGAGTATTCTGGTTTGTGTTTGAGAAACGGCATGGGTGCTACTGGAATGAGTGGGATAGGAGGGCAGAGCAGTTTCTGGGGTTTTGGTCAAGATAACACTTTGTGTAGGACTGTCCTGTTCTTTCTAGGGTGTTAAGTAGCCTGGCCCTCACGTACTAACCACCATGTCATGGCAAAAGCTATCCAGATGCCCGTGCCTTTCTAAGTATCCCCAGGCTGTCTCTCCTGCTGGCGATGCTGTCACCTTTGAGAATAAGTTCAGAACTTTGTGAACAACTGATTTATGAGTGCTGCTCTTCTTTCCTCTACTGCATTTTCCTGTGTTAGAGTGGTGAGCTGTGGTTTCTAGTCCAAATGAAGGGATAATGCCAGCAAATCCAGCAGTCCATCCACAAGGGGCATACATTATGTTTTAAGACTTGGATTGTAGTGAAAGATAAATACATCAAAAGCTGCATACATTTGACTCCCCCCCACTTTTTTTTCTTGACACTTTACTACTTTGATCTATGGTTAAAACTCCATGTTAATGTTGATGCTTGGGATGAATAAGTGCTTTTTATTAAAACTATATTCTCAGAAAAAAATTATAATAGTAATAAACAATATGGGTGATAAGCCATGTGAATTTTGACTCTAATATGACTTTTAATAAGCCATATTTGCACATTCAAAGAAGTGTTGCTCTTTAAAAGGGTCACCTTGAGAAACTAGATATTTTATGAAAAATAACTGCCACCACTCACATCCTTTTGCTACTCTTCAGAATTTCCTTCAAAGTGAGTTTCAATGGCACATTAATAAGTATTGTTTCTTAATAGACATGCTTCTGTTCTGGGCCTTGTGACTAAGTAGCTGAAGGCAATTGCAAACTTATTATCTGGCAGTTCCTGTGGGTCAGGAATCTGGCCAGGGTTTGTCTGGTCAGAATTGGTATTCGTTACTCAGCTAGGTTCATCTGTATGCTTCTCCAGCCTTGATTTGAAATAATTTCTTCCTGTTTTGAAAATTGAGGTTTGTTTTCCATAGTCAAGGGAAAGTCTCCTTGAGCATACTCCCAAGACTGACCCTCAGGTTCCCCCAGAGGCTGTCTGAGAAGTGCAACCCTAACCTTTGGAGACAAAGGAGGCAACTTGATTGGAGGGAGGTTTTCACCCTGCAGCACCATGGCTTTGGAGACCCACACTCACTTGGGTGTGTAGAGTTGCTAAGTAGTTCCCTACAAGGTACAACTCCCCCCAAAAAAAACCCAACCTCATCACGTTGGCAACATACTTCACATATTTCCTATGAGTGTGCATAGTGATCACTGGTCGTTTCTCAGCCCGTCATAAGTAGAAGATGTTGGCTTCCTGGTCATAGAGACTTGGTTTTACCCAACTGACATTTCACAAATGTGGAAACTGGCTTGAAATCAGGGACTGAAATCCTATAGAAGATGCCAGCTTTCATATAGTTTTCATCTTTTACTTTATCCTTCTACATATGCAAATACCAGATTTTTCCTTCCCTCTCTTTCATGATGTGTTGTGATTGGGGTTCTGACTGAAAGCATTTTTTACAGAGCCTAGGTTATGTTTTAGTATTATATAAAACACATCACCAAAATCTCCCCTAAAACCATTTTTAATGACGTTTCTTTGTGAATGGACCTGTCTCCATTAGTTTTTGCCCTTCTCTAAGAGAAAATGAATTCATGTAAGTCCCATACTTTTTTTCCTACCAGAATGCTCTTCCTGACACTTGCTAATTTTGTGAAATACATGTGGTTTCTTTCAGACCGATAAAATAGTACCTGGTCTG